AACTGTGAGCTTACTAGGTATTAATTGGACTCCCAGGTATCTCACTAGGAGAGTGCCAAGTCTGTAGCCTGGTCTCTCATCCATTTTGATGATCAGGGGGCAATCCACCACAAATACAATTCACACTTGGAAGGGTTAGAAATAAGCGCGGAAAGAAACTTGAACTGCTCTAGGACACTTAGATGCATTGGATACCAAAATTAGAACTATCAGAGAATAATAGAAGGTCATCTGCAAACAAATGTGAGCCAACCCAATTTTTTACACATTGGATGGAAATGCATCTTGTTTTCTGCCACATCAACACCCATTAGGCAATTTAAGACTGCAAACAGATAGGGATATAATAGATCTCCCCGTTGAAGACCTTTTTGTGCAGAGAAATATCCCACAACTCCTCCATTGAATCTTACACTCAACTTAGGGGAAGTAACACACATTGAGAGTCATCTAAGAAATTGACTTGGGAATCTCATAGCTTCAAGTATTGTGAATAAATAGTTCAAGTAGACAGAGTCGAAGGCCTTCAACCTCTAACTCTCATACTTCCCTTACCAGATCAAAGAACTGTGGATGTGATATCCAGAATTGTAGAACTTAAACGATTTAGGGAGTGAATTAATAGAGCTATCAATATCTAAATGAATAGGACAATGATCTGAGATGGATCCATTAACTCCACTCCACTATTAGAAAGAGAGTCTAGCCATACTAGGTTTACAAATGTTCTATCAAGCCGCCTAGCAATACGATTACTTGATTGCGTATTTGTCCAAATAAACCATGGACCAGAAGTTTTGTGCTCAACCAATTCCAACTGATGCTGCCAACCCTTGAAATCTTCCATACTTCCATTATAATCAGAGTGGCTTGATGCCTCACTTGGATCTGTAATAGCATTGAAATCTCCAAGTATTGTCCAAGGCAATTGATTCACTTTATATCTTAGCAAATCACTATAAAGAATTCTTTTTCAACTTCATCATTTGAAGCATAGACAAAGGACGCAACGAAAGGAGTCATAGAACTCACCAAGATATGTATAAATTGATTAGATTGATCTATAACCCTTAGGCTGACATCTTTCTCCCACAAGAGCCAAAATTTACCCAAACCTATTAAATTTTTTGCCACTGCACTCTCCCAAGCAGGAAATCTTTTAGCAATAAGATCATCAGTCTCTTTTTCTCTTATTCTTGGGTCTAGTATAGCTACTATATCAATATTCTTTCTACTAACTATTTGTTGTACGACTTTATTTTTTTCACTATCCTTATACCCCGTAGTATTCCAAACTAGTAATTTCATCTATTCCTAGTAATTTCACTCCCCCTTTCTTAGTATGGGAAACATAAGGAATTTGAGTCTTCTTCCTAGAGTTTTGGACTGTTATCCACTGATTCTTTTCCTTCCCAGCAGGAGTTGCCTCTAGAACTAACCTCCCAGAATCTCTTGGTGAGTCAGTACTAGCAGACTGTTGTGGAGATGGTTTAGGACTCCCAACAATAGTTGTTGATCCATTTACCACATCCACAAAAGTCACTACTAAGTTCCTAATTTTATTTTTGAAACTTGGAAATTGATTAAATGAACCCAAAGAGGTGCACAGATTTTGGGCCAAAGACCCCATGGAAGGAAATAAACCACTTGGAAAAAGGCCAAGTCAAACCACATCATTGAAAAGCTAAGCCCAAAACCCAACGGGCCTGAAACCACACAATGTAGAGCAAAACCCAGAAGACAAACGGGCTTGACTGAAAAAACCCTAGCAAACTAATATTTCCTCCACACATGAGAGCAGCAGTCGCCAGAAGCGGACCCTAAAAACCGCCGGCGACGAAATGAACCCTCAGAAGCCACCGACGACGTGAAGCGCATCAAGCAAGACGTCTGAAGAAAGGGGAAAGCAAACGACATGATCTGAAACCACCGAAACTCACAGAGATTTGACGAAACCACACAACGTAGATCAAAACCCACAAGACAAACAGGCTTGACTGAAGAAACCCTAGCAAACTAATCTTTCCTCCACACATGAGAGCAGCAACCGCCAGAAGCATACCCTAAAAACCGCCGACGACGAAATGAACCCTCAGAAGCCACCGACGACGCGAAGGTGCATCAAGCAAGACGTCCGAAGAAAGGGGGAAAGCAGAAGACATGATCCGAAACCACCGAAACTCACAGAGATTTGACCAAACCCAGGGAGCCGCCACCTCAACAACCAATGCACATGCACCGGATGATTGATAAGTAGCCCAAGTGGAACGAACCTCGTCTTCGAGCTTCATGAAACTGCAACCACGTGAATGTTACAAATAGGGCTCCCAAGTCTTCTCCGAAGCACCTAATCAAAGAGCTGAAGCAAGAAGGAGGAACATAAACATGAAGGAGAAGACATGTTAAAAGAATCTCAACCTCCTTTGTCACCAACAAAACATCTAAACTGAACAGATCTAAAGATCTGACACGAGGAGGAAGCAGAAGCATCTCAAATGAACAAATATGAAGATCTGACACAAGGAGGAAGCAGAAGCAGAAGTAGCCATAAGAAGAAGTGTGAACAGGCAGAAGAAGGAAATCAGATCGGACACTGAAAGGGAAAGTGCATTAAGGAAAGAAAGCAAGAAAAAAAGGTGGGGCTACCGCCGACGCTCAAGAACCACCGACGACAACCCAAACATTTGAAATCTAGAGAGAGTTTAGAGGAAAAAAATTTAGAGAGAGAGAGAGAGAGAGAGAGCATTTGTAGAAGCTAAGCACTTTCTTGGGTCCGAAGGGCTAGAAGTTTACTAAGTTCCTAATTGATGCAGGAGCTGGATCAGAATCCAATGAACCCGACTTATCCTCCTTGGTCCCTAAAGAGCTAGGGTTAAATGTGTGCGAGTGAACAGAAATCCGCTTCCCAATTTGTTGAATAGTCTCCTGACTTGAGTCACCTTGCAACTCTAAGCTCACTTCATTAGTAGCTTCCACATGGGAGTTCCAAACCTTCTTTTTGGGCACTCATTTCTTCCCGTTTTTTGCCAATCAGTCACAATCGTGGCCATATACCCCACATCACAAACAATAGGCTTATTTAAATACTCAACCTCCACCGGGTAGAGTCTCACACGAGAAGGAAACCGCAATCAGCTACAAGATCTAAACAGACTTTTGCGAACCCTAACTGACTCCAACCTAGTAGATTGGTCCATCCAAAGTGGAGGCCCCAAGGTGCTAGCAATCCTCTTTTGCCCTTTAGACGAGTGATATTCTAACGAAATTCCCCAAATTGATCACGTATTCACACGGAAGCGAATAACATCTTTTTTAGCATATCTCTAATTAGCCAAAATCTCAAGGGGTTGAGTAATCGAAATGCATGAGTTATGTTGTAATATGGAGGAATAATATTTGACGGAGTATGAGAAAAGACTTGGCTAGAGAAAAAAGAAGCAGCTGCAAGTGCGGGAGTTGAGAACATTGATCAGAGCGTGCAAATTGGAAAATGACGGAAGAAGATGCGAGAATTGTTTTAAAAAGTTGTCATATTTATATGCATCCTAATATGACCATTTCTTCCCAATTTGCTCATAACGCTTTTTTCTTGTTTGTGAGTGTTGAACTTTGGAGTTTTTCTTGATGTTGAAGACAAATTGGTGCGACAATAAGTCTAATTAAGGCGTTCACACTTTAATTAGACTTTCAATGTTTGTTAAGTGTAATTGAGGTGCAACCTCTCATTTATTGTTTCTTAGCTAGACAGACTCGATTGAGACGTGCACTCTTTAATTGAAATATGCAGACAGTATATAAAAAAACATAATATTGATCAAAGTGTGCAAATTGAAAATGGTGGAAGAAGATGTGAGAATGTTTTAAAAGGTTGTCATATTTATATGCATACTAATATGACTGTCTTTCCAATTTGCTTGTAACATTTTTTCCTCATCTGTGGGTGTTAAAATTTGGAGTTTTCTGAACATTGAAAGATAAATTGAGGCGATAATAAATTTAATTGGGATGTGCACGCCTTAATTAGATTTTCAACGTCTGTTAAGTATGATTGAGGTATAAGGCCCAATTGATTGTTTCTTAATTGGACAAAGCCAATATAGATACTTTAATGGACACATGCGGACAATAGGTTAGGGGTGGGCACGTGGGTGGTTAATCCGCGGATTGATATCGATCCACCCGCAAATAACCTGACCCGCATGCAATGGGTGATTGATGTGGGTGGATTGCGGATTGTTAAATCTCTCACCCGCACTTATGTGGGTGGAGGGTGAGTGGATTGCGGGTCACCCGTATGACCCGCATCCTATTTTTATATGGAAAAATGTTGTTTCTTATAGTATCTAATATTCATCATATTTTTGAACTGCACTACAATCTGACCATATACCACAAAAGGTGGAGAATAAAGAATAGTTTTGACTATCATTATTGGTTATTGTGTTGTGCAATATCCATTGGCAATGGATATTGGTATGCAAATTATTGTTAATATTCATTAAATATTGGGATACAAACTATAAATTATTAATTTTTGATACAATCTTACTAATGTGCTATGAACTTATTATAAATATTAGTCAATTTTCTTAATGGCTAGTTGGAGAATTGCTTTTACTGGTTAACCCGCGACCCAACCACACCCATCCGCCACCCACCCAACCCAACCCGCCTAAGTTTGTGAGTAGATTGCGAGTCACATATATTCCAACCCGCTAGTAAGCCGGTGGATCAATTTTAGACCAAAATCCACCCAACCCGCCCATTGCCCACCCCTAGGTTAAGAAACTATTTTGGAAATTACTGTATTTTAAATAATATATTTTTGAAAAAAACAATATTTTTTAAGAAAAATCACTCCCACACTGCATCACGCCATCACCTATTCATTCAAGAAAAAATTTAAAGCCTTCGACTATAAGAAACAAAAAGGAAAAAAATAAAAAAAAATAAAGCCCACTAAAATAACTTCTCCAACCTAAATGAACCGTGTTTCTTGCCTGAAAAAAACGCCAGTCTCTCTCTTCCCCCTCTATCCGACAGCGAAATCGAACTGCTCCGAAAACAAAAGCTCGGGGGAAATAAACAACCTTCCCTCCCTCCCTCCCTCTCCACCCAACTACGGATTCCCTGCTCGCCGGGCAATCAAAGCTCATAACGCCATATCCTCCCCGCTCCCTTTCTTATCCAATCTTCTGGTGCAAACTGAAGCTCCACTGCAGTGGTCGATCTAGGGTTACTATATTAGGCGGAGATTGTAAAATTAGGGTTTCACAAACATCTTTGTTTCTTTCTTTCTTTTTTGCCACGAGGAATTAGTTCAGTTAGGTCTTGGCTTATCGAATTTACGGAGGGTTTTTTTTAGCGGTCGTTGATGGTGGTCACTACTGCAAGCCAAATGCCTCTGGCGGAATAAGATGATGGGTAGGGGTCGCGATGGAGGTTGCGGCTCTGGCGAGAGGCATTGCCGACCTAATTGTAGAGTTACTGCTACCAACTCTGTGGCCGCTGCTGCTGAGCCTGAGGTTCCCGCCACAATGGAGAAGAAGGCAGTTCAGTCGCTGGACGTCGATTTCTTCTCCCAGGCAAGTAAAGCGTTGTGCGAGAGGTCGCCGTTTGATGTTCCCGAAGAGGTCCCTGGTTCAGTTAGCTCGACTTCGACTACTTTGCCTAGCGGATTGGCCAGCTTGCTGAGGCATTCCGAGAGCAGAAAGAGAAACAAGAAGTCGCATCATGGTGGTGGTAAGAAGTCGTCCCGGGCAGGTGAGCGTTCCAAAGGAGGGAACATTTGGGTTGAGTCTGAGGATTACTTTAGGGATTTGGTATTGGCAGATGTTGAAGCTTTGGTTGAGCTATGTTCTCCTCTTAGGTCCTTAGCTGCTAGAAGTTGTTTTTCACTTCCAAACATTGGAAACGGGGAAAAGGAGAGAAGTGAGTCCCAGTTTAATCAGGACAATCCTGATAATGACATGAATGCATGTGTGGAGAACCGAACTGGTATGGTGTCAGAAAGTGAGGCGCAACAAGAAGCTCAGCAGCATATGGAAATTGACAGGGCTGCAGTTCAAACTGATGGGGGTGAGTTTTTGCCTTCAGCAGACAGTGGCAGCAGCGGCTCCCCTTCATATTATTCCGGTAGTTTAGGTTGGGTTTTGGGCTGTAGGAACAGAAACTTGTTGACTACAGAACGTCCTTCCAAGAAGCGGAAGCTTCTAGGTGTTGATGTTGGGTTGGACAAGCTGTTGGTTGGTTCACCGTGTCAAGGCAACTCATCAATATGTGATTTTTGCTGCAAGGGCGACTTTTTGAATGATTTGAACAAACTAATTGTTTGCTCCTCTTGCCATATTGCCGTGCATAGCAAATGTTATGGTGTGCAAGGTGATGAAGGTGACCCTTGGTTATGTACTAGATGTAAGCTGAACATTGATAAAGAGATGGGGAAGCAACCATGCGTCCTTTGTCCGAAGCAGGGCGGTGCCTCTAAACCAGTTGCTGACAAGAATGGCAGTTCCGAAGCAGAGTTTGTGCATTTGTTTTGTTCTATTTGGATGCCAGAGGTCTATGTGGAGGACCTGACCAAGATGGAGCCCATTATGAATGTTTCTGGTATCAAGGAGACACATAAGAAATTAGTCTGTAATGTGTGCAAGGTGAAACATGGTGCATGTGTTCGGTGCAGCCATGGTATGCTTTGTCAGTACTTTATTTTATTAATTTACTGTTTTCTTGGCTGTGGCTGGATTTGAATTTGTTTGCTTACTCTGTATCTCTTAATCTTTGAAGCAGAAGTGAATCTGTCCCTATTTCGGGACTGTATTCTAGTTGTGTTAAGTTGTTCATGGTGCTGGCCTTTTACGTGATCTGCTAGTAAAGGCTCTGTGAATTGTTTTTTCGAACTTAGCTTTCCTGTTGCTTAAACGTGGGCAGAAAAGAAAAAACACAGTTAACTTCAGTCTGTGTTTGCTTAAAGATTATTACATCTCTGCTGAGTATGTGCGTGATTTCTCAACGGCAGTCTGATTGCTCAATATTTGTCTTTTTGGTAGCTAGGCATGTTGTGCCCTCGCACACTAGTGCACATCGATCTAAGTTTATTGTTGTTGGATTAGGCTTGCTTATCATTATCATTCTTACTCTTCTCTTCAGTAACCAATTCTACATCATTTTAGTACTAGTACTAGGTGTTTATCCATGAGTATGATTAGGGCTTCTGAACCTATGCATGGTTATATATATTTCTTCTTGGTATCCCTAATAAACAGTTGATAGTGTTGTTTGGTACATTTTTCCTTTTCTGTATAGCATCCGTCTTTCTTGTTTTTTTTTTCGAGTTCTCTATTGGATGGCTTGTCTGTCCTCTATAGGTGCTGTCTTCAGCGTTATCAAGTTGTCCTCCTGCCATGATTGGCTCTTTGTTATGTTGTCTGGGCTTCTCCGCATTTTCCCATTGCAGTGCGCTTCTGGTTTTCTCCTTCTCCCTTTTCCTTAGAGTAGTGCATGTCCTTCTCACTATCATCTTTGTTCTTTTATCTGGGTTTGATGTTAACATTGACTATCTGAGCTTGTTTTTTCTTTGGTTGATGTGTTTTGATGATTTGTTGGTAATGATGTGTACTATCATAAGTTTCATGTCCATGCCCTCCCTTCCCTGACAAGTCATTCTATTGGTATTATGAAATAGTTTCTTACTTGATTGTTTACTTTGCTTTTATCAAACTGATCACTCCCTTGAAATCAGTCATTAACTCAATCTGCTCTTGCCTTGCATGGGCCGAATAAGCTCACATACTTACATCATTCCTCTTGGTTGCTTTTCAGGAGCTTGTAGACTTGCTTTCCATCCTATATGTGCGAGGGAGGCAAGGCATAGAATAGAGGTTTGGGGAAAGTATGGACATGATAGTGTAAGCTAATTTCTCCCCACCACCCGTTATTAATGAATAATGATATAGCATGCTCTAGTAAGAATATTTTATGGTTTTACTTCTATATTGGGTGAGATTATTCGTTGTATTTAACTTGTGATTACCTTCTGTCATTCTGTTTGAATCTGCAGGTTGAACTGCGTGTCTTTTGCTCCAAGCACTCTGGGCTTCTTGATGGCAAAGAAAAGTTTCAAGCCGCTGAAGCTTCTTTGACTGCAAAAAGTGTCTCTGTTGCTGACTGTAGTTTGGTCATGCAGTCCCCAGATAAGCATCGGGAGATCATTGAAAATGGAGGTAAATTTGAACCTTGTATAGGATCTGCTGGTCTTACTTATTCTGTTAAATCTGGAGATGTTGATCAAGATGACTTAGAGTCTTCTGTGTGGGAAAAAAATGTAAAACTTGTATCAGATGGGGATGCATTCCAGAGGAGTGATATGGCCATGTCTGAGAGATCGGACATCGAGGTACCTAGCTCATCAGGCTCCTTAAATCTTGCCGTTGTGATGAAGAAGGTGATTGGAGAACGTTCTAATAGTTTTGATCATAGGTTCTTGCGTCCAATCCTGTTTATGTATCTCTTCTCTTGTTGACTTCCATTTTGTGTTGACACAGTTAATTCAACGTGGAAAAATCAACGTGAAAGATGTGGCAGCAGAACTGGGCGTCTCGCCTGATTCCCTAACTGCAATACTTGCGGTAAAGATCGAAATCCTGGAATCATTTTCTAAAATTTTCATAATAGCTGCACATCTAGACTAGTTGCTTTCATATTGCAGGAAGACATATTAGTCCCTGAAGTCCAGTGCAAAATAGTCAAATGGCTTAGTAGTCATGCTTGCATGGGTGCTTCACTAAAGAATTCAAAAGTTAAACTCAAGTCTGCAATGGTACCCATGTCTGAGGAGACTTCCGATTTTTCTGATGTCGTGGCAGAGCAATCTGACATGGCAGGTACTGTAGCTATAAAGTCAGTTCCTCCACGGAGAAGAACCAAAAACACCATTAAGTTTCGCAAGAATGATGAAACGAGCAGCTTATCCAAGGACACACTGGCTGAGAATGGCATGGGAAGTGAGTTAAGAGTAGAACAGCTGGCCACTGAAGATCCAGAAGATGCAAACAAAGCATCTACTTCCAGTGTAGGTGAAATGGTTATGTTGTAGCTAATTGTTTATTGGTATTTTCATCTCTGATGATGCATGGTTCATTTTTTGGCGTTTTCTCCCTTGTTTGATATGATGATATCACCATCAATGTTTTTAATTGTTTTCATATCCTCGGAATGTGCTTCCGTTGTAAAGCATTTAGCACTAGAAGATTGCTACTAGTCAGGGTATCAAATGCATTTCTTTTTCTTGTCGAGGCTTCTTCATTTGTAGTCTTATTTCCTTGTTCATAGTCTCTAGAATCTTGATGATCTTCCTTAACAAGCTGTCCATGTCCATATTTCATCGATGCAATCTGATCTTTCTACTGCTAGGTTTGCTCTTCCCTTGATAATCCGCCTCTTTCAGTGTCTTTTTGTTGTTGCTATGGTTGACTTGTATAGTATTAAAATAAACCATTTGGGAAAATGATTTCTGTCAGACAATATTAGGATCCAGATTGGATATTTAAGTTTATTGTTTTATTATTGCACATGTATCTGGATTTTCATTTCATGACACTAGTAGCCATTTTGTCATGTCCAATTAAAAAGTTTCTTATACGTACTAACTCATTTGTGATGTCTTGCAGAGATTGTTAAATGATGGGGCCATTGATTTGCAAGCACCAGATTCACCTAAAAATGAAGGTAGATATCAGTATCAATATTTTTGATTTACAAATTATATTTTCTTAAATGTAACTAATAATAGTTATGATATTACAGTTTGTAGTTTATGTTTTCACACTAGTGCATGTGCTATGCAGGCAGTATGAGCGATTTGTCTGAGTGCTCTTCTTTCAAAAAGGTTGAGTCAACAGAAGCAGATGCTTCTAGAACTGCACAAAAGCTGAAGGGAACTGTCTTGGAGTCTGATGTTGATGCACTTCTCCTTGATCTGATGTATGTTCATTGTGCATCTTTTTCTCAAAATTGTAGACTTAGACTCACAAATCTCCACAATATGAAATTGTATTTATGGGGCCTAAAATATTTTTTGGTTCCTTTTTTTCTGGTCTGATGCTAAAATAGTGGATTGTCTCGTTGTTAATCTCTTTCGTTTGCTGTAGTAAAATGGATGCATCTTCCGGCGCTTGTATTCATCCTAGTATCCTAGAGCTAATAAAAATGCACAAAAGAATGCCTTTCAACAGTGGAACTAGTGAGTGTGAAGGTATGAAGACAAATGAGGTTTCTTATCTTTGGCTCCCCCCAGTACCTCGATGGTCATTTGCAAGTCTTATAATCATGCAGGAGTCAAGGAGCTAGAAATATCCGGTTTGGAGTCTTCTTCAAATGCAAATGCTTGCTGTAATCACAAGAGCACAAATTCAGAGTGGAATGCAATTGTTTGTGATAACAATGGAGACAGTTCTGGTCAACTACTTAAGGCTGCTGAGTTGGGAGTTTTTCCACTGTCTCCAGCAGATGAAGTTGAAGGAGAAATAATTTATTTTCAGCATAAGTTGCTCAGCAGTGCAGTTCAGAGAAAACACATGACTGGTACCTTTTATGTGTCATTTGATATTATGTTTTGCTGTGCGATTGGCCCACTCTGTTATTTCCTTGGCCGAAACAACTGGATATTGTGAGTCAAAATTGTTTCCCCGTGAATGCCAAACATGGCTTCAAAATTTTGAGTTCCGCAACTTTTTACTGAATTTTTTCTTCTGAGGTTTGTGCTGGATGGCTAACACAAACTTGTCCATCTTTTGTTGTCTTTGCAGGAACTCTTGTTAAAAATCTATCTAAGAGCCTACCGAAGGAGATTGATGCTTCAAGGAAGCAAATATGGGACTCAGTCCTTGTTAATCAGTACATTTGCGAACTCAGGGAAGCAAAGAAACAGGGAAGGAAGGAGAAGAGGAACAAAGAAGCTCAAGCTTATCTTGCTGCTGCAACTGCTGCTGCTGCTGCTTCATCCAGAACTTCATTCCTTAGGAAAGTTGCTTTTGATGAGTGCACAGTTAATGAGGTTGGTTTCTCGTGCTAGTGCAACTTGTTTTCCTCGTATGGCAAGCTAATCATCTTATTTTGAGATATATTTCTTTTAATGATGATCTTTCTCTGTAGAAGCTCAATGTTTCCAATGGGACGCCTGGCCTTTCATCTCAGTCGATTACCCGTCCTAAAGGAAAATTATCAAGGGTGACACTTCCAAGGATATCATCTGACAAGTATTCTGATTTTGTTCAGTCAGTTCCTGAAGTTTCCAAAGAGCATCCTAGATCATGTGATATTTGCAGGCGGCCCGAGACTATAATGAACCCTATCTTAGTGTGTTCCAGTTGTAAGGTTGTGGTTTGTTTGCTCAGACCTCAATAAGTTTAGTGAGAAATATTTCTGCATCATAGTAACAACAAACTTATTTCTAACAGGTTGCAGTTCATCTGGATTGTTACTGCAATGTCAAAGAATCTCCAGGTCCATGGCACTGTGAATTATGTGAAGACTTGTTATCTGCCCGGCAGTCTGGAGGTCATTCTTTAAACTTCTGGGAAAAGCCTTATTTTGTTGCTGAATGCGGTTTATGTGGCGGTGCAACTGGTGCTTTCCGCAAATGCATCAATGGGCAGTGGGTCCATGCCTTCTGTGCAGAGGTTAGTTCCTGGCTTACGTTTTGATAGTCTGATTGGTATTTTGTTGGTACCCTGGTGCATGATTATTTTCAGTTTCCATGTGCAGTGGTTGCTTCAGTCAGTGTACAGAAGGGGTCAAGTAAATCCTGTTGAAGGAATGGTATGGAGAAGTTATAGTTTGCCCTTTCAATGTCTAGAATATCATTGGTTCATTTTCTGTTATCTCAAATATTAAATCTCAGCTGGCCATATACACTTTGTGTTCTGTCTCTTTTCTTTTTGGCATTGTGAATTTGCTCATCTATCTCTTCTGTATCTCAATGCAATTTCTTCTCAGTATTAACAGCTTAACTAATTCTATTTCTAGGAAGATCTCCTAAAGGGAACTGATCTCTGCTGTGTGTGCCGTCATAAACATGGTGCTTGTTTACGGGTGAGTCTGCTTGATCTCTTTTCCTTCCACTGGGTTCCTATATGTATAATTTGCTAGTAGTATTGGTGTTTGCTGCAAGCAATTGACTGCAATCGCATTTCTGCAGTGTAGCTATGGGCATTGTCAGACTACATTTCATCCCTCTTGCGCTAAAAGTGCAGGGTTTTTTATGAATGTCAAGTTCCTGAGTGGCAAGTTTCAGTACAGGGCTTACTGTGAGCAGCATAGTTTGGAGCAGAAGTTGAAGGTCTGAAAGTTGTCATTTGTCTGAGGAATACGAATGCTACTGGTTTTAATTTTGAGATGATTAACCTTATATATACTCATTGTTATTTGTAGGCTGAATCACAGAAACATGGTGTTGATGAGTTAAAATGCGTTAAACAAATCAGGGTAAATTGTGTTTTCTGTAGGTTCTCATTCTGTTAATCCGATTGTAGCCTCAGTTGCGTAGTGTCTTTACCAGTCATGTTTCCCCCTTTCTTTCTGAATTTCCAGGTTGAGTTGGAGAGGTTGCGCCTTTTGTGTGAAAGAATTATCAAACGTGAGAAGTTAAAGGTAGCCATTCTAATTCATGATGCCTTCTGTGTGAAAGAATTATGAATTATCAAACGTGAAAAGTTAAAGGTAGCCATTCTAATTCATGATTTGGGGCTTCTAACAACTCGAATGCCGTTTCCTTAATCTAATGTTGTTGGACAATTGACATAGGAGCTGCAATTTCTTTTCAGTTGCTTTTAGATAGCCATTCTTATGTTTGGTTTGGATGAGAACTGCTCGTGTCTAATGTCCAAGCTTAAAACCCAAGAAAATAAATATTGTATTTGGCAGCAGTGCTGTTTATATGTTTATATGCAGTGCAATTTCTCTTTGAATATTTTACTGAGCAGTTCTGTTTCACTGGTAAGTGTCTTTCTAGGTTTTTTGTTTTGACCAAGTATGTCTTTCTAGAGTCGGTTGTTTTTTTTAATGTATTTGTTTAGTTACATTTCTACTGTTGACTAGTGTTTAGGCCTTGGAAGTACTTTGGTCTGTCTATGAGGTTGGTTCACATGGGTTATATTTCAGTTCTCTTAGCTTGACATAGGAAGCTCTCTGATTTGTCTACAGCGGGATTTGGTGATCTGCTCTCATAGCATACTTGCCTCCAAAAGGGACCACGCGGCTCATTCTGCTCTTGTCCAAAACCCTTTTTTCCATCCTGATGCTAGTTCAGAGTCAGCAACCACATCCCTCAAGGGAAACGTGACGGATGGTTATAGTGATGCAGCAATTCAGAGATCGAATGAAATCACAGCAGACAGTGCTGCCTCTACTGTCAAGAAACGGCTCAAGGTCACCATGTCTACTGATACCGAGCAGAGGACAGATGACAACTGTTTGACTTACCAACCTCCACTCAACAACAGCAGACCAACACAGAGGCAGCAATTTGCTGGGAAGCAAATCCCTAAAAGAGCTTGTCCTCCTGCTTGTAATCTAGTAGAGGAAGCAGACTCGACTTCAAGATCGAGGAAGGTAAATGGCACATCTATTATTCATTCTGGCATATTTTTCCCAGCAGCAGCATTTGGTGTTTCTAGAGGTATGTTTTCCCCGTTAACTGTCGGTTTTTTCTCTTTGTTTTACTTTGCAGCGTGTAGAAACGTTGCAAAAGGAGTTAGTGATGACTTCTGATCAAGCAAGCATGAGGAATCAGCAGTTACCCAAAGGTTATTTTTACATTCCAGTAGATTGCCTTCCAAAGGAGAATCAAACGACGAATGACCAGGAATCATCATGTCCTGGTGAACCATTGCCACCCGGAGAGAGCTAAGTAGCGAAATTGCTAGGTTTCTTAAGATCAGTGGGGGTTGATTGAAGTTGAGATTTAGTGCAAGTGCTTTGTTGCATCATGCTGCTGCTGCCGGCCAGTTGATTTGATTTCGAGGTGTCTTGCTTCGCTGTGTTGTATATTTTACTTGAGGTAGTAATTGTACAGTGCTGTGAGCATGGTTTGGTTCAGTTTAATAGGCAGCATGCAACAGCATTGGTAGCAGAAGTAGCGCAACGTCTATTCGTTTACTAGAATGTACTGTGTATGCGGAGCCCTATTGCTCGTCTCCTGCGTTGAAGTGATTGGAGGGGGCGTTTCATAGTGTAAAGTTATGTGTAAATATTTTGTTACAGGGTACTAAATCAGTCATCCAATCAGATTAGTGACAAAATTTAATTCCGAAAGCTTGCCTACATCGTCTATTTTGTAATAATCTACTTGAATGTTCTCATTTTTCTGTGGATGACAAATGTTATGCCACATTTCCATACAATTCAACGCAAGCAGAATCGTCACTAATTTGTTATAAACTACGATGGACAAGTACGTCATGGTCCGCTTACAGTATCTGTTAAAATTCGTCATAACTCGGTTGCTGGAGCAATTATTTCTGAGATATCGTTCTATAGGTCATTCCATTAGAGCATAATCATCTCCATCTTCATCCACTACCTCATATCCGTAGTCTTGAACCGTGGAATTCTCAAGCAGGTCATCTTCATCTTCCATGCAAGCTCTTTCAGGATTCGAGTCCCGCAGGCAAATGGCATCCCCAAACAAAGAAGTGGCTGCTGCGTTCTTGCTTTTCGAGGGTTCCCTGTCATTCACCTCTATAACTGATGTGATTTTCTCCTTGATACAATCTTCAACAGTGCTCGATCCAATTTGGCCACACTGCAAGCCAAGAAGAGAGAAGCATTCTTCTCGAAAGCCCTGATCCATGGATGACGTGATGAGGCCTGCAATAGATCTTGCAAGGTCGGGGGCATAGCTGCGAATCTGAAGATATGAGATTCCATAATTAGATGTCTACTATGGAAGTCGAATTACCTGGGAAAACGTTCAATCCTTAGATGCTTAGTAACTAATCAATAAACTGAGAATTGATCAGTGTCTAGATAGTTATGCTCCATAACCATGGTACCTATGCCAACTGGTTGATGAAATTGGGTCATAGAAAAGATAGGCTTGATCAGATGTGCGATATCTTTTAGTTGTAAAAAGAAAAGTGGTGAAGAGAATAGATAGTTTGTTCATTAATAACAGTGTTTCTTCAACTTCTCACTTGCCTACAGAAATACACCCTTAGTCTCAAAGCCAGAGCCTTACCTTAAGGGCGTGCTTGCTAAGTAGGAGTCCTGGATGCCTCTCCTTCAAATTATTCATGGCAAGAGTAACAGCCTTCCGCACGAGGGATCTATCAGGCTGAGTCTTTTTACGCCTTGATGAAAGTTCTGCATGCTTGATAACAGACAGGTCAAGGAAAACCTTAACAGCTCACATCTAGGCACAGGTGCGGACTACATTTAGTAAGTGCCGAGAGCGAGCTAAAGGTAAAAATAAAGTGTTTACTAAAGTGGATATTGTTTGTGATAAAAATGTAGCACCATGGCTACATGAACATTAGCCTGTAAGTTTTCCCACCGAAGAAGGAAGCAGCCATCTTGATCCATAACGCCCGCTAGTGTCAACCCATAGCTCTTCCAATCAATGCTAGATATTGCCCTTATTGAAGATTGACCAATTGATGAAGGTTTGAAATTCTCGTAATACATCACCTACATAATATCAGCCTAATAAGTTGTGAAGGGAGGAATTGATTATAGCAGAGCCCGGGTAAAGAATTATGACTAGTCTCAGTGTAGATTACATAATGCACAAAATACTAATTGCAAGCTTTACCTAGCATAAGCCTAAGCTCAGACTTGGTAAAATGGTCCTCATTTGCTAAGAAAATATTTCCCCTTACTATAAGCCAACATTTACTGAATAGTGAAGAAATGCAGAGAAGTGTAATTGAAAAGATAAGGGCAGTAACCTCTGTTTCTGGGCTGCATGTATCCGAGGTACAGATCGTCTTTGTCTCGCTTACAATGATCACAGTTTCTATTGTGAATCCAGAAGTTTTATGGCTATCTGAGCTGCACGATGCAATCCCTACCTTAAGTTGTTCCCTGATAACGATACAGAGAAACAGATCTTTAGAAATTTCAAAGCAAAGCTGCAAGTTGAAGAAAAACAGAACCTCACCGAGATGGCAGGCATGAATCACACTTTTGGTTCAGTCTATTTCCATGTTGCAGGACATAATCTTCAAGACCCGACTGCAGATGGTTAATAGTTGAGGCAGGAAAAGTAAGAGCATTTTCTTCAATAGCTGGGTAGACCTTCTCATATCGTGATCCTGCTGCATCTTCTTGTTCAACCACAAGTTCAGTTGCGATATACTGGAAGCAACACAAAGAGGTTTCTGATATTTTTTCTAGACATATATTGCTCTCTTTTGTTGAACATTTAAACAAACTCGACTCCAAAGAAATCATATGTGAGAAGGTAATGTTCAAGTGTATACAAAGCATCAGACATGTAGGTCTAGATAAGCTCAATCATGTGATCATCTGAGGGTCAGAAAGATATCATCCTCTTGATGCAACTCACTCAGCTGCAAATTCAATTAAAAGACATTCCCTGAATACTGTCCAACCTCTATACTTTTCATTTCTTCATTTCATTCTTCAATAATCAATAAATGATGGTTGACTTCATTGTATGAGTCTTTTGAGATGCTTAATCATGTGACAATGAGAAACAGAAATATAAATCACTCCACAGCCAAGTCTCGGAGAACCAATTTCAACTTACAGGAATCTTCAGAACGAGCATCTGCAGAAAATAAAGGAGATACTAGCAAATCAAAAGGAGCTCTAGGTTCTACAAAAAGAAAAAGCTCTAATGACCATTACTTCAAAGTGAAAAAACGAAATTCAAGACTTTATGCTTGAAGTGTCAATAGAATGATTAGTTGTGGCACCTCATTCTTCATTCCAAACATAGAATGGATATAAAACAGAAGTTCTTGACGATAATGACAAGGGCATCATCAACTTGCAATAACTTTCAGTACTATTTCAAAGGCTTCACAGGCCTTCTGAAGCTCCTGAAGTATGGAGTAAAACTTCTGAAATCATCAGAACCCTCATACCAGGCTCCCACGCCATAAGCTATATAAGTGACCAAGGATGTCTCAGAACGAAAATTGAAAACAACCCATTTATGGAACAGTAAACCAACCTTCTGGAGAAAGGAGTTTATCTCTGAGACTAAGATATCCATGCCCTCAGAGACCGAAAGGCAGACTTCAGTTCCACTACACGAAATAACGAACAAGAACAAACAAATTAATGAATCAGTTGAACTGAGAGGATAAAATGCAGTGAAACAAGAAAAGTTCATCCCATATCCCGTGCCTGAACATGACTCCATTCTTCAGGTTTGATGGAAGTTGAGCCAGCATTCCATCGGGATTGTTTTCCCTAAAATTCAATTTATAGTTGTATATTTCTTTATCAGAGAAGCCTGCGATCCTCTCCAACAAGATACTGAAATCAGAGTCTCAAATGACCACCAAGATGACTGCTGCTACAAGCTGAATTTGGTATACTTAAGAAGGCATCTATAGAATTGATAACTCGCAACGGCGTAGGCACAACGGGAAACTGAAGAAAACAAAAGCTGCCTGCACGCAGAATGCCATTATAAGAACTTACTTGTAGTTCTGACAGAAAGCAGTCCATCTGCAAGCGTAAAAAGTCAGGAGTCAACACTTGGCCAGAAATGGCGAAGGGAGCAGAATTTTGGCACAAAAATGAAGGGAAAGAATTCACTGCGTCCGTTCCGCACCCCAATTTTCAGAGCTAATGCTGCCGCTGAGGCCAGTAAACTCTTCCAGAGAGCTTCCCACGCCCGTATCAGAAACTGCATGCACAAAACCGATTCAAATGAACAAAAAAATCCGCAAAGAAATCTCCGACCTAATCGAAAACCGAGCATGATCAAACGCTATTTCATTTCAGTCAAACGAGTGAGGAAACGCGGGAATATAGCTCGGGAAGTAGAAATTCGAAAAGCACGAAGGAAGACATAACTGGAAATTTGGAGGACCGAGTGATCGGGAAGAGACGATTTGGCGAGAAGAAGAATCGAAACTCTACAGAGCTGTGCAGAGACGCGGCATCTCTGGAATGCGGAAGAGATCAACTGCAACAAAAAAATTCCAGACGATTTCAGAAACATTGGAAACGAAGGACTGAATCAAGGAGAAAGAGTAAGGGAAATGAAGAGTGAAGGAGTTGAGTTTGAATTTGCCGCTCACTTCACAGCATAGCTTTGGAGGAGAAGAGGCAGCCATTAGATTTGGATTGGAGAGGAGAAGTTTTTGCAAGAAGCTACTCGTTTTGATTTGAAGAGAACGGACGAAAGAGGGATTTCTTTCAGCACTGGATGTGGGTGACCGGACCGCTAGTAGAAACTAAGAAATGCTCTGCGCGCGAGATAAATAAGAATGGAGAATTGATTTCGGGCTCATGCCAGCCAATTTTGCCATGCTGCTCACAATATTTTTTGGGAGTTACTGTTCGTCGCTCTAGAATTTTAAATTTTATCGCCTTAAATTAAAAATAGACACATTTACCCCTATCTCTTATTCCTAACTTAAATCTCAAATAAAGTAAAGCGGCGAATCTGGAGGTGGCCGGACTTTAAGGTAAACGCACATTAACAGTTTAACACTAGAGGGGTGCGGTAGTGGAATCAATTTGGGCATTGTCATTTTTTATTAACATATTTTCGCAAGCTTTTGGAACTTGGAGCGGGGCAATCAGATCATTAATCATGATCATAATGGTGGCTGAAATGGTCCACGAGGGTGACAATAAAAATGAAAGAATGGCGTCGGGTTCGGATACAGTTATGGAGGGAAGATCGACTGAGGCTTGAGAAGACGCTGCCGGGGAAGACAGAGGGCGGTGGCGCTGCCGGGGAAGACATAGGCGGAGACGAACCGGAGCAGAGCGATGCGGCGAGAGGGAGCATAGGGTGGCGGCGATGCCGGGGAAGATAGACGGCGACGGCGAACTCGGGGAAGAGAGAAGGCGCCAGTGAGCAAGAGCAGAGGACGGCGGCTGGCCGGTGAAGACAGATTATTATTAGGGCTTCAAATCTATTCGGCTAATTGAAAGGGAAAATGGACGTTTATTGTTGGGGGCAAAATCGTCCACTCATTATAATTAGGGCGATTTATTTAAAAATTTAGGGCGTTAAATAAAAGTTTAGCATTTTTTTGGTGAACAGGAGCTCACAGGGCCGGATTGCAGGCCATGTCGGTTAAGCTGTCAATAGAGTCCAAAATTGTTCTGAGCTGATAACTGAGAAGGACTCATATAAGTGAAGGAAGATGGAGTTGAGCCGAAAACCAAGCCAAGCCGAAAGAAAGAGGGTTTTGGGTGGGTCCTACAATTTAAAAAAACCCTAATTTTTGAATTTTTCTTATTGAAACCGCCACTTCATCCTTTGCCTTTTCTCTTCATTACGTTATTCATTTTCGCTCTCCGCTTCCTTTTTCCTTTTCTCTTTCGAAGACAAAACTAAGGCGGCGACGAGGGCAGCGACGATGGAACGGAGACGATGACATTGGAGCAGAGATGATGACGGTTGGGCGGCAAAGGAAGAGAGGGTCAACGGAAGGGGTGAATATTTGAGGTTGAAGGGCCGAGAAGCCGACAGAAGGGGGCTGAGACGACGACGAGAGTGCAGAGAAGGTGAGGAAGATCTCTATCTCGAGTTTTGGTTTGCCGATTGAAGTTTGTTTGGGGTGAATATGGATAAGGGTTTCATGGGTACAAATTTGGGGTTTTTTGGTACGATTCTAGGCTTCACTGGGTTTATGGGTTTTGTATGTTTTTTTTGGTGTAGATTGTTGATATGGATATGGATTCGTCGCCAGATGGGTATAAATTTGCTGTTTTTTTATACGATATTGCATGACTGGGTTTCTTGGTTTTGTGTTGATGTTAAATACCACATCATGAACGTTGAATACAATTTTGTCAATGTCGAATATCAGTTTCTATGTAGACTTGCAATATTAGTTATTTGATGGTTAATACCGGTTCGTCAATTATGAATTCTGATTTGTCTATGTGGGATATCAGTTGTTTGTAGACCTTCAGTATTCGTTGTTTGATGTTGGATACCATTTCCTGACTTTCAATACTGGTTTGTCGATGTGGGATATCAATGATTTCTTGGACCTTCATTATTAGTTGTTTGATGTTGGATACCAGTTTGTGAATGTTGAATACGGTTTTGTCGATGTTTGATATAAATTGTTTCATATAGCTTCAGTATTAGTTGTTAATACGTTGAATACTAGTTTCTTTGTATTTTTCAGGTCTTTTGAAGGATGACTTGATTCAAAAGGTGTGCTCTGAGACCAAACAAGAGACATCATGAAACAACTGAAGAAGGGCCATCCCAAGCCCACGTAGAAGAAAAAACAACTGCAGAAGAACCAACAGGAGTAGAAGGACTGACTTGAGAAGAAAGACCAATTGGAAAAGAAGAAGAAGAACAAACACCTCCAACTTAAGGAGGAGCGAAAGAAGCATAAGATGATGTTGGACCACCTGGGGGCCACAAAAGTATGTGCCACACCACATCTCTCTAGAAGGTGGTAATATCTTGGAAGGAGGATAATGAGTACTACAATGCTTGTAGGCGGGAGTTGCAGAAGGTCGGGTTTAATGGCCTATTAGAGATTCACATGAAGGTATTTGACAAGACATTGTTTTGGACACCCATGACCACACTTCCACCACCTTATTTTTGGTGAAGGAGAAAACTAGAGGGTGCTCACAGTTGAAGATGAACATGTGGCACGTGTGTACGGACTTCCTGTAGGTGGACATGAAAACGGTATCCACTTAAAAATTGTGGGAAAGAGTTGGTGAAGACTTTGGAGGAGGATATCGACATATATCGAGAGACCTACGGTTGAGAGTGTTGTGAACCAGTTTATTCTGCAAGCCCTTGGTTTGTTGCTCGCTCCGACATGGTCACAGTCAAGTCATCTTGACTATGCTCCGTTCGTGGTTGGGAGGCTGGAGGATATTAGGCTGTACAATTAGAGCGACTTGTAGTGAAAGACCTAAAGGCGGGGTTGGCTAACTTTAAGGCAAAAGGTGACCCTCTGTGGGTTCCCGGGGATATCAACTTCATGATAGTAAGTAATCTTGCTAATTGAATATAAGTATGTTAGTTGAATTCAAATCTGACATAGTTGAATACTAGTCTGACATTGTTAAATACAAGCATGATTAAGTCGAATACAAGTGTGATTTAGTTCAATTAAAATTTGGCATAGTTGAATACTAGTTTGGCATGGATGGATACAAGTATGATTTAGTTGAATTCAAATATGGCTTAGTTGAGTACTAGTCTGACCACATCTCCATATCCCTTGTAGAACAAATCCATTACCAAAACACGAACAATAGATGTAGAAGAAAAAAATTGTAACCCTAGATCTAGATTTGTAGGATCTCATGTTTCAATTTTTTCCCTTGGGAGTGAAGAGAGTAAAGAAACAAAGGGAGAAATGAGATAGAGGAGAAGATTTTGTTTAGTTGGGAGGGAAGAGAAAAAGAGAGAGTGAGGTGGTGGAACCCACCATTGAGGATAAGAAAATGACTTGGGTTGTCTTGACAAAGATTAGTCTCATTTTCCACTAATTTAATCATTCTCCAAACCAATAATTCTCAACCACTCATTTTTTCCTTTGTTGATGTGATTCAATGAAAATTTTTTGAGCACATGCACAAGGTTATTGGCTATTGGCTTTGCATAAGCTACGGATTCAATATCAAGTAGTGAAACTTTATTGGCTTCTCTTACATATTTTCGCTCAATCAATTCCATACCCCTTTAAATTCATTCCTCTTTTTGAAATGATCCACCACCGTCCCAAACGTCCGTGTCAACACCAACTTGGTGAAATCCCCTACCTCCTCCTTTGTGCACCGTCCCAAACGTTGGTGTCTTTTCTATTATGTTTTATTATACTTTGGAGGGATGGCATCCCGTCAAAATCTCTAAGGAGTTGTCAATTTCACTTAACCTCCTAGTCACTGAATTCATTATTTCTCCTTCTTTTTGCATATTCATATAAGATTCCGAGTTCGATTTTATATGATGGATAATGAAGAAACAAACGTGGATGATGGTACTTAGAATGTCGAGCACGAGGAAACAAACATGGATTGTGAAGATGACGTGCATAGTGGGGATGATGAAGAAACTAAGAATGATGAAGAAACTAATGAAGAAGATGATGAGACAAATGAAGAGCCCAAAGATGAGCCAATGTTGTAGGCAGATTATTCAACTCCACTAGTCACCTTCAATGCTATATGTGATCATATGACTAACATGACCGATTATATGGGGCAAATATATGGTCAGATGAGCACACTTTAGGTGACTGTAACTTAGATGCAGGATGAATTTTAATCTTTCAGTGGAAGATACATGTACCCAACTAGAGGGGGCAATAGATTGGATCATGTGGATTGGTGGATTGATCCATGGATCCAAATGACATCCAAGTCATAGACCAATATGTAAATTTTGAAAAGTTTAGGTATTAAATTGTTATAATAAAAAAATTTAGGTGCCAAAATGTAAATTTTCAATGATATTGTAATAAATTTAAGGTGACAAATTGTAAAATATATAAAAAGGTATTAAAGTGTAATTTACCAACGATCCATAAATCCACCAATTCAATTGGATCTGGATAAAATGAATTAGATTTAAATGGATTGGATGAGTTGAATATTTAAATGGATGGATTGGATTATAAATTGCCATTTCTAATTTCCAACAAATTTGAGCAACCGAATTTTAGCAGCACCAATCAAGATAATCAAGATGAGTGAGAGGAGAGAGATCAAACAACTCCATGAATTATATTATGCTTTTTATTTATTTTGGTGTGATCTATTAACCTTGTAAGACGATTTGGTATAAAGCAACTATATATGATTGTGGATCGAGATTAAACGTTGTGGTTTTGGATTGGGTGAGGTGTGTGTATTGTGTTTTGGTATTAATAATTAAACTTTTAAGAAGATATATGATTTCTTGCTAATATGATTGTCGATTGAATTTCAAAATCTCTATGGTAGTTTGTTAGATTTCAGAAGGTGCATGACATTATGGGTCCTATGAGGTTGATCGGACAGTACAATTCAAGGGTTTTGTTCTTGTACAAGGTCCACCGTAAAACCAATCAGTTTAATCTACTAAGATGATGGTTTGTTAAGATTGAGGATCGAGCGCTCTTACGTGTGGTCGATTTCTTCTTGATATGGTCGACCACTTTGATGGAAAAGTTGACCTTTCTACTTATGAGTCTCTTACGCACGGTTGACCGATCCATGTTTAACCACATTCTTTCATTAGAATGATCATGTTGGTGTAATCATTTGACCACAATCACTTTCAGTCGACCGTTTTGTCCAAATCATTGTGACTTATAAGTCACCATAAGCATACCCCAAACATTTTACCATCCAAATACAATATCAGTTGTCGAACCAAATGACAAAAAAAATGTTATGTTTTCATAGTTGAAAGTAAAAACACATAAACGAGAACCACACGAGTTTTTTCCTTTGTTGTTATGAATCAAGCAACATTCAATTTAAACTCTTACTCCAGGGTTTGCAATCTAGAGATGAAATAAAATAGATTTGTAAAATAAAATAGAAGAATTGAAAAAGAGAAACCAACACTAGCAAAGATAAAGATATGCTAATGATAAGAAAGAAAACCCTAAAAGCTCACGAATTCAAATTCTTGCTTGCTACACACCATCAAACATCAAGTAAAGATTAGCAAAACTGAAAGAGAGGGGGGAAAAAAAACAACGATGAATTCACCAGTAAACAACAGTTGGCTTAGACAAAACCCTAATGATCAATTCCTGTAGGAAGACCAACCAATCCATCCATCAACCACCCTCTCCTCTCCCAGTACTGCCCAAAAAGAATGAAGAAATTCATTTCCCTCTTTTAGCTAGCTATTTCATATATGTAGATAGATATATGCAGTAAATATTTTTAACAAAACTTTTTTTTTTTTTTGATAATGGTGAATATTTTTAACAAAACTTGGATTGCCTAACCTAGAACCGGTCTCAAAGTTGGAACAAGAGGGACACCAAAAATGCAGTTGGCCGAGCTTCCCCTCATCACGCCATTGTAGTTCAAACACTTGACTGCATTCCCACTAGCCCTCTGAAACCCTCCTTCATCCTCCTCCTCCTCCTCCTCCTCCTCATCATCATCATCTTCGTCGTCGTCATGGGGGTCCAAAGGAATAAGGTGGAGGGTGAGGCGGCCGTGGCTTCTGTGAGCCCTAAAGTACTCATGATGCCGCCACGCTCTCTCCTCCGTCAGCACCAGCCTCCCGTCGCTCGTGTACTGCCTCTTCAGCACCCACGGCATGTGCGACGCCAGGTTCTCCGTCCTCGCCAGCAACGGTATCGGTGGCGGATACTCCTTCTTCCACCACCTCATCTTCTGCTGCTTCTCCTCCTCCTCCTCCTCCTTCATCTCACTCTTCTTACTACTGCTCTTGTCATCATCATCATCATCATCATCATCACCAACAACGCAACACCGACCATCATTTCCTTCTTCTTGTTCTTGCTCAACTACTACCTCTTCCCTGTGGTCTTCCTTATCCGCATCATGATTATGATCCACATCACAGTTCGGAGGAGTTACTGTTGGCTTGGGGAAGAGACGAAGCAGATGGTGTTCAGTATGGGTGTTGAGATCCAGACAGCTCTCGCATCCAATGCATTCCTCCAGATAGCTACAAGAAGAACCCGCCGCCGCGGTGGTGGACAGCACCGGGAACTCATCCTCCTCCTGCACTACCCCTTTCATCTTCTTTCTCCTCAATACTCCAACCACAGAAACAAAGAGGGAGAGCCTTTTGTCGTCGTCGTCGTCATTGACAGTACTATGATGTTTCGCCCTAGTCGAGACACAGGATGTTTAATTGCACGAAATACGTTAGCACTTTGCTTCACACAGACAAGTCTAAATAGGATAAATATGTGTGCAGATATTGCGATTGGTATGAAGACCCCGCGCCAACAACACGTACAAACACGAAAGTGATTGTTTTTCGTAATGTTGGTCGGATTGAAATTGTCATCTTAGCAGCAAAAATGTAGTAAACAAAAAAAAACGACGATGGAAACCACACAACTTTTGTCACTGGTTCACTTAGCATGCATTCTGATGGCCGTGACGGAGCCAGAAATTCAAACGTAGGTGATTGATTTTAACCGTGCTAGGGTTTTTAATTAATCAGAATTCACAACAACTAGTCCCTACCTAGCGCAGCACATCAAGAACAGAAAGGCAAAGAGCGACAATCATCATCGACGCCTTCGGGGATTCATTCAATCAATCAGTGACGAAATAAACATCAAATCAATCAACAACAACAAAAAAAAGGGCGAAATAAACCGTTGCCTTCAAGAAAATAGGCTACATAGAAAATTTACGATTATTGATGAATTGATCAACGAAATATATATGGACATAGAATACAAAAAGGGTTAGATAGTTAATTGGATACCTAGCTATGGAGGCGCCGGAGAAAGAGATCGTTGACGACGGCGGCGGCGGAGGGTGATTGCTAGCTAGGTAACTAGAGCGGCCACGACGAGTGCGTCATCATCGCCTCCGTCTTCGTGTTTCTCTTCTCTTCTTCTTATTTGAATAGTTTCTTCTACCCCTTTTGGTGCCTTGCTGGCTGGCTCTTCCGCCTTCTCGTCTCCCTCCTGTGCGGTTAAATAATGGGAAATAAGGGGAAAAAATAGAGAGATTATGAAGAAGACTACCTAGTGAGACGAACTAATTCATTCAAATTTTTTTATATATACCACGAGATGGGCAGATAATTAATTAAAAATTAGAAGTAAATCCAAAAGAGATGGGGGGTTTTCTTTTTCTTTCTATTTCCTAGTCAAAGGAAACGAAACTTCATATGGTAACTTTTCATGTACAATAAATGTTGGCTGATAGTACAAAATTCTCATTCCGCATATACGATGATTTGATTCCTTTTTAAGAAAAACAAAATTGGTAATTTGGTAAAGCCAAAAAAGTGTAAAAAAAAAAAACTAAAAACATTAATAATGTACAGGTAGGTTTTGGGATAAATAAATAATATAGAATTGTATGGTTACGTTGAGGAGTCACGACTCACCACACATCAAGGTAGTCGGACCAGTTTCAGCTATTATGCCCACGAAGCACGTATATGCCGGTTTAACAAAATATGTACACTTAATGGAAAATCATTAACACCAAATAAATTGTGCTTATATATAATATATATCAAGACAAATGTTTTCTAACAATTTACCCGTGTTTGTGAAATCATACCTTAACAAATAACAACATTCTGACTGAAAAAATCCTTCTACTATTAGGTGGATTTTAGCGTTAAGAAATTATATGAGCACATTTTCAACATAAAATACCCACCAGTAAATTTTTCGATACAACCTCTGGTGTCGTTTTATAATGTTTGCAAATTATATCCATATTCAAATAAAATACAATATTATTACAAATAAAATGACAAATTCTGATATTTAAATACAACGTATGATATAAAGATCCAATGTTTATACTTGAAGACGATATGACGGTTAATTGCATCCAAATGTCGTATTTTATTTTGTTGCTTAAAGTTACTGCGACATCTACAAAAAAATGTCGGTACCTACATTATCCGACATTTATTTTGACATATGAAAATGTGACTATAGAAACTTGCGACATCTACAGAAAATGTTGGTATATATATCTTCCGACATTTTATTTTGACAGGTGAAAATGTGACTATAGAACCTTGCGACATTTACAAACAAGTGTCGGTACATTAATCTTTCGACATTTCATTTCGCCATATGAAAATGTGACTATAGAACCTTGCAACATTTACAAAATGTGTCGATACATATATCTTCCGACATTTTATCTTCACATAGAAAATGTGGGTACATATATCGTTGATTTTTGACCAAATTTAGCTTCATATTTGGTGCCCTGTACCTGTTGAACCTTGCTAGTCGAACCAATCAACACAAAAACGGGTTGACAACTATACCACATGTGGGAGGAGATAGGGGATAACATTCAAAGTGTTATTACCCTAACAACACTAGTGTGAGTAGCCAATTGGATATCGGGATTAGTTACATACATTGAGAAGATATATTCTTAGGAATTTTGGGATAGAGAACGGTTAAAAGACGTGTCTTTGGCTCTCCATCCGTCTCATCCAGTTTGGCCATTACGAAAGGTATATTCTTTGAAATATGCGGGCAACTTTTGATCGATTCTCAAAATGATGCTCGGAGCACCGATTTAGTGGTTCGGTCGCCATTTTAGGCGCCGTTTTCATCTTCTCTATTTTCCCACTTCTGGATCCTAGTAGTCGAATCTTGATGTCCCTTCAATGATCCAAAGTAGTCCACTAGGTTGTTACGTTCTGAAAACACATGAAACACTACCAAGTGTGTATCGAAATGATAAAAGCAAGCCTAGTAGTGCTACTAGAATTCACTTTGAGTAATCACGAAAAACAAATTCAATATACTATGATATTTAAAAGCATGAAAAATAGGTCATCATATGACGGTCTGAAATAGTACTTTTCACGTGTCAATCACTCATGTGGCAAGTCTTTTAGTGACACGTATGTTCTTTTGTGGAATAACCTTTGAAAAATAGGTTATAATATGACGGTCTGAAACAGTACTTTTTCACGTGTCAATCACTCATGTGTGGGAAGGCTTATATTGATAATGATACATATGTTCTTGTGAGGAGATTTTGCAGGGATGAAGCCAGGTGCAAAGCTGGGAAGGCTAGTATGGAACCTAACCGCGCGTAATTATGTTTTTTATATGGATGATATAAATTTGATTTTTAATTAGGTACAACAGGTACGCCTGCTAAGTCGGTGTAACTTTTGTAGGACCGGGGTTTTTGTCAATCCCTTTACAATGATCATCAATATAAAAAAAATTTGACATAAACGAAGACAACGTCGCCTGCAACAAATTGAAAGAAAATTATCATTTATTGGTTTGTAGAATGTGGAGAGATTTCTCTGTACACTGTGAAAGCCCAAGCCATCTTATAATCTTCCTCGCCTAAGTAAATTGTACAAAATGTACACACTCACATCACATACCGTCTCTCTCTCAGTCATGTGAAAATTAATTTGACAATGTACGCCAGCCAGCCAGCAGCAATAAATACAATAATGAACACAAATGAAAACCCAACCCAACCCAACCCAATCCAACTCCGCCGCTAGCTAGCTTATTTTTCTTCGAGACCAATGAATACAAACAAATATGCACGTAACGTAACGTAACGTAAACTAATTAGTTGAGGATGGCGTCGGAATTCGACACACTCCACGCGTACATCTGGTTCCAGAACTCGCCCATCTCCTCCATGTTCACCGCCGCCGCGGCCGCCGCGGCAGGCGCGAGTAACAAGTCCTCCTCCGCTAGGGAAGGCGAGGTGACGAGAGACGGGATGGAAGAGGAGGAGGAACAAGAAGACATCATCCCTCCGCCGGCACCGGCGGCGGAAGTAGTATAGTAGTTGGCGGTAGTAGGCTGCTGCACTCCGTTGCCGGTCAGCTCCTGGACGAGGGTCTTGAAGCTGGAGCTGTCGATGATGTACACTTTGGGCCGCAGCGCGATCATCATGTTCTCCAGCTGATGATGATGATGATGATGATGATGATGGTGCTGCTGGTGGCCGCTGCTCTTCTTCGTCATCTTCTTGCTCTTGATGATCATTGCCTCGTTGTTTTTGCATGGTTTGGTTGCCACGGCGTAGGAGTTGGGCGCCATTGATTTGATTTGATTGATTGAGTTTTGGAGTTCTCGTGATGATTGGTATATATGATGGGTGTGAATATGATTCGATGGTTAACGGTTTCTGCAATCGGTGGAGTAATATATGGAATGGAACCACTTTTGGACAGCTGCGCGCGAATGAATGAATATTTTGATGCCTGCACGCGTTTAAGGAGGGAGAGCTTAATTAGTTGACAGTTGGAAAATGGGGGAGATGATTGGTTCGGTGTATGGGCTTTGACTATTGGGTTAGACTCTTAAAATGGGCATCCTGCGGAGTGAGCAGGGGAAGGAATCGGGAAATGCTAGGGTTTGGAGGAGGCTTCGTTCACAGCAAGAAAAATAATTGCGCGCGTAGACGAGTGACGTGGAGACTGGAGAGGGGGTATTTAATAGAGAGGTACTAATTAACGCCCTAACTATTTAAATTTAACGCCCTAATTTTAAAAAGTTCCCGATTTTGCCCTTAAAAAAATCCCCAATTTCTAACTAAATGCCTAACCCTACCGCTGCCGTTCGCCCTACCGCTGCCGTTCGCCCTGGAAGGAGGCTCATCGTCGGCCAATCAAGTGATTATCGTCGGCCAATCAAGTAGTACCTCTCTTCTGTCGTCGCCCTCATCATCCGTCGACATACTGTTTGTCCCAGATTCTCTTCTTGTGCATAGTTTCAGTCGTCGCCCTCATCATCCGGCGAGGATAGGAATCAACCCTAATCTCTAATCATCCCCTAATCGTCGTCGCCCTAATCATCCGGGAGGAAACAACGTCATCGAGAATCGCCGTCACCCGAAAATCCCATCATCGTCGTCGCCCTAATCATCGTCGCCGGTCAATCTACCTTCGCGCTTCTCTGGTGAGGGCGAAGAAGGAAGCGCCGGTCAATGTACCTTCGCGGGTCAAGTCTTTTTTTTTTTTTTTGGACCGGGTGCAAGTCTGGTTGAAAGGAGATCAACCGCAGGAATCGGTTGGGTTGGATCTGATCTGGTTGGACGTTTGAATCTGGTCTGGTTGGACACTTTTTTTTTTTTACATAGGTTGGACACTTATCAACAATATAAAATAATTAAATAATTCCTCAAAGAAAAAGGACATCATATTTATTTAATTTGATTATTTAGAACATGAATTAATAGTTGCAGTCATTGTTCAAGTAATATTATGTTTCCCAATAGGATTTGTTTTTCTATTCCTAGAAGGACAGTATATGCTTTTGCAACTTCTATAAATAGAGAATGTAAGACCTACGAATTTTACAGAACATAATAGAAATAAAGACGTGTAATCGAAGATAATCAAGTTTGAATAAGGATATTTCCTTTGGAGTTTATTATGAGTAATTCGGTAAGTATTTTATTTGTTTATTGTTTGATAGTTTTATTATTGTACCATAATTCTTGCATGGCTCAACCTTATATGTTTTTATCATATTTAATTATAGGGAGATTATGGAGGTGATGAGGGTGACAATTTTGATTACACATCATTGTTCATAAGCGATGTTGTTTATGATACCCGTGACGAAGCTTGTGCGGCGGCAAGGGATATTGCCCAAAGAAATAGATTTTTCTTGGTTGTGGGATCAATCAAGCAAAACCTAGGAGAAGCCTATCTGCGGGTATATATGGATTGCAACCATGGTAATAGGAGCAAATCATATACCCCAGATTTGACGAAGACAAGACGGGTCAAATCAAAATCAGGCAAACAAGGTTGTAAATTCCAAGTTGTAGTGCGGGCTTCATTGGTAAATGGCAAATGTCAATGGAGAATTTTGGGTGGTATGGATAGATCTGGGAAGTCAAAGGGATTTCACAATCACAAATTGGAGGTTTATTCTGAAGGAAGCAAGCAAAGGAATGCTCTTTCAAAGGAGGAAAAAAATGAAATTAAGGAGTTGGAGGCAACACATACTCAGGCGAGAGATATAAGAAGTTTTATAAATAGGAAGTATGATGCTCATCACAACATGGATCAGGTTTATAACGAGACAGCAAAGATTAGGCGCGAGAGATTGGGTGGTCTTTCCCCTATGCGGTGGACATTGATAGAAGCTGACCGTCTTGGCTATTTCATTGGGGTTGATTTTGATGATGACCGTTGTGTTACTAGACTCTTCCTTTGCCATCCAGAATCTATTAAGATGTTGAGCGCATGGTATTTCGTTATTTTGATAGACTCGACGTACAAGACCAACAAGTATAAGCAACCACTGGTTCAGTTGATTGGTGTTAGTCCGGTGAAGAAGAACTTCAACATAGGGTTCACATTGGTTTCAGATGAGACAAAGGAGACATATGCTTGGGTTTTGTCGCAATTGAAGAATGTTCTTGGTGGTCGAAGACCAGATGCGTTCGTCACCGATAAGGAGGGAGGGTTGGGTGTCTCCGTGCGTGAGATCTTTCCATCTTCAGCTCATTTACTATGTGTGTGGCACATGAAGAAAAACATTGAAGCTAAGATGATGTCTCTCGGGTCAAGTCGAGAATCTGCAGAGGCGTTTGTAGCAGGGCATTGGCAGACACTTATGAATGCCAACACGCAGAGAGGGTTCCAGCAGCGGTGGGTAGACTTGCAGAATAGTGAGCGGGGTAGAAACCTACGCTTCATGAACTACTTGAAGGGTGAGTGGATACCATGTGCGCAAAGGTGGGCTCATTGCTACACCAATCGTATTTTCCATATTGGTAACACGAGCACAAACAGGGTAGAGTCAGCTCATTCGTCCTTGAAGAAATGGCTTGCCAGTTCGACCCACAAGATCGACACACTCTTTCTCAGATATCACACATCCATTGAGGGAAAAGTGACTGAACTAAGAAAGGACTTAGAGGATTCGCGTTTGAAGGTATTTTCAATTTTTCTTCAATGGTGTTGATATTCCTCTGTATACTCAATTTGATTTTGACTTAGAAGTTTGTTCTTTGAAATAGGTATTTAAATTAGCTGACGGTCCGCCATATGGTCACCTGAATATGGAAGTAAGCTTGTGGGCAATTGAGTTGTTGATGAAAGAACGAGCAAGAGAAATTGTTCAGCGATGTGGATGTCGGCTACATGAGACACATGGTTTGCCATGTAAATGTAAGATGGATGCACTTAGTGATGCCGGCATGGAGTTACACCCTCACCACTTACATCGATTCTGGTCATCTTTGGTGTATGAGAGTCCTCCTGATGGTGCAAAATGGGAGGACCATGATGCCACTGAGCGTGAAATTTTTGCAGCCATGGTGGAGGATGTGTACAGGCAAGGACCAGCTGCTGTCCGGAAGGCATCTCAGTTACTACTCCCTCATATTCGTCCACAAGTTGCAGGCCTATTAGAGCCTAGAGAGTCAGAGGCTCCAAAGGGACGCCCACCAAAGAGGTCGAACACTAGAGATCCTTCTTGGTTTGAGCATGAGAGGACACGAACGGCAAAGAGGAGAAAAACAAATGAGAACACGAGAAAGACACACAAGACGACTCCTGCAGGTTAGCAAAATTCTTATCTTTTTGGTGTAATCATACTCCTTGGTATGTAGCCGTTTACAGTAGTTATTTTTTGTACCAACAGGAGGTGTCTCGAAAAGTCAGCATATGCAAGTCCACAATGAGAGAAATGTTTGTCCTTATCTCCGTTATATCCCACTTAGCGTCCGCCCTCTTCTTAGAGGTTGGTTTGACCCAAAACCAGACGGGCAATGTGGTTTTCGAGCCATGTCACATGTGATTTATGGAGACGAGGAACAATACTTACAAATGAGGCAAAATCTTGTCACAGAAATCAATGATCATAGGTCTATCTATGAGGGGGTTTATCTTTACAGAGATGGATCGTTGGAGGCAACACGTCATAGGCTGGGTCGTCGGACTGCTGGGAGTTGCACACAAGAGTATTGGTTTGAGGAGGTGGATTTGCTGACATTCGCAACCCTATACAACTGTGCAATTGTTGTTTATGGACTGTATAATGAACGAACCACGTATGGGTACACAGTCTTACCTTTGACGGCGCCGGAAGGGGTCACTCAACCTAGTCAAGTTATAACTCTTGCTTTTACTGGGGCACATTGGGTGCGACTATATTTTGGCGAAGTTGATGGGGTCACACCAATACCTCATTTTAGTCCACAGTGGTCTCACTTTCGGGATATGCTAAGAATTGCTGATTGGGATTCGTTATACGAGCCAGGGCGACAATTGTATGTCGATCTCGGAGGACATCATCCAGCCAATGACGATGACAAGAGTGATTAAACATTGTTGCATTATTTTTTTTTAAGATTTAACATTATGTCGAATTATGGATTTACCTTTGTGTCATTATCAAGTGATTTGGATTTTATATTCTTATGGATTTACCTTTGTGTTATTATCAAGTGATTATTATTTTATATTCTTATATATAAAGAGGATTGTAATTATCCATTTTTTTATGAAATCATATTGTCTTGAAGCCCTACTTATAGATATTATTTATTAATATATAATTTAAGCATTGATTATAGCTATTCATCACCAATCATATAAATTCATCTCTAATAAAAAATGTAGATTAATTGTAAAATGTAAATCACACTATTTAAAAATTAAATGTAAATCTCAATTATTGTACGTTAATTATAAAACTCAATATTGGTTATAAAACCAATTAATTATACATAACTAATTAATTATACATAACTAATTAATTATAACACAATATTACACGTTATTCAAACAACCAAACCAAACCGCACAGGTCCTGCAGCCCACGACCCGACCAGCAACCAGACCCACGACCCGACCAGCAACCAGACCCGCCTCACTTTCTCCTCCTTCCTCGATCGCGGTTCCTGCTCGGCGAGACGGTTGCTTCTTCTTCTTCCTCCTCCGGAACCATAGACCGGCAGACGATTGACTTGTCCCTATGCTGCCTAAGCAACTTCTGGGTTTCTTTCCCGAACTGATCATTACAAGTCGAGATTACATCAACAACTAGAAATGCCTCGTCTGAATGCTTACCAGCTGGTCGCGACTGCTGTTGTCCAGCAGAATCAGGGTTCAACAAAGAATCCCGCAAATGAGCGAATTCTTCGCTCGAAATCGACTCCGCCGGCCGCGAACTCTCCAGCAAAAAAGGGTCCTCTGGGTCGACCAAACCTTCTAGAGTGTCGGGGGGAGAAGTGGAATCTCTAATCTGGGGGCGAGAATCGGAGAAAAATGGGAGAAGGGAGTAGTAATCGAGGAATGAGGGATTCGAAAGGTAACGGCACGAGACAGAAGGGTCTTAGCGACCTAGCTCGAGAAGCCCTGGTCGCGGCCGGTGGCGGAGCACCGGTGGCGGAGCAATGTCAATTAGGGATTAAAATTGGGAAAGGGCAGCGATTAAGGGCGGTGGCTAATAGGGGTAATATTGTCTGTTTGGTTAATTTAGGGCGTAAAATTTAAAAAACTAGGGCGTTAAATTGGAATCCAGATTTAATATATAAGCTACGTCATTTTATTTGTTTATAGAATATATTCACTTTTGCGCTCTTTGCCTTTTACACGTCGTTTTGCTTTTACATAGAAGTACTTTTAAGACTTTAGCTGCATTGGTTAGCTGTAGCCACACCCTCGTGTATGGGCCGGGTGATATTTGACTTTGCCGATGATCGGTAACGGACGGTTAATTGTGAAACCGTTAATCGATTATGATCAGTAAGGGGTGCGGTTTATTGGTAGAGTACTAAAACGACTTTCAGTGCGACCAACAGTGAATGAATTGTAGGTTAATGGGTTAGTTAAAGTCTAGCCGAGTATAATATCTCTTCTTTCCCCCCAAAACGGTCATATCCTAATAAATAAGCTCTCAAACTTCGAATAAACAATCTCTTCACTGCCCCCGCCCTGTTCGTCTATTGACAATTTCCCCCCTCTATGGACCCCCCAAAATTGAAAGATGCCAAGATTAATAGTGTCAACTCTGCGATTGAAATATAGGCATCATCAAGGTTGAATTGGAAAGATCAAAGGGGCTTCTATTGGAGGAAAGATCGCACCTCAATTTCTTCTATCAATGACTTCCCTCGCCTAGTTTTCACTCATCACTCTTCTCCTTCCTTTATTTTCTTTCTTCTCTGGGGCTCATTAGGAACCACAAGTAATATCCAAAACACTCCAAATCGCACCACCAATCAAATCCTAACCCGCCTCCACGTAGGAACCTCTCAACCCCGTCTTTGGAAAGTTGGGATGTAGAGCCAACATTGAGCTAATCTTCTGCATTTGTACATTGGAGGCAGTGGTGGTAGAGTAAAGGATTCCGATCAACTAAATTTGATGGAAAAAGGGTAAATTCCAAGTTTGGTCACTAGGTTTACTAAAACTTGTCAATTGTCATGTTTAGTCACCTATAAAAGTTCATATCAACTTTGGTCATTCGAATTACTGAAACAGTTCACATTTAGTCACCCTCCGTTAGTATCTGTCCAACTCCGTTAATTGAGTCTGTTATGTACTGACATGCCTAACGGAACCGCCTAGTCAGCATTGTTTTGGGCCACAAATTGTCAAACCCGGCCTACCACGTCACTCAACCCGCCTTCGTCCCGAAAAAATGTCGTTTGCTACCCCGAACGACCTTTTTTCCGATTTCGTCAAACTTTGGACGGCCATAACTTTGTGCTCCAAAATCCGAACGTCATGATTTTTTTTTCATTTCACATACTTTTTAAGTACAACAACTTTTATCATAGACATAATTTCGGAATGTACGTGGATTTGTGAAAAGGGAAGGTAAGGTTACTCCCAAAACCCTGTATATCCAAAACTAATTCATGTTTTGAAATTTCTTCTTAGTAAAAATTGTAATTATCCCACTTCTTTTCCCTACGATGGACATAAAAGGCATGACGATAGTTAGCTGCAATGCAGTCAAAAGATCGCTTTAAAGCTCAAGAAGTTTATGCTTTTATACTTTGGAGTTTACACCCCCAAAAATTTTAGGTTTTGTTTAAAAATCTTTTTACACCAAAAGTTCAAGTAAAAGCTCCCAACCTTATAGGGGTGTGTAATGAACCGAACCATGCCAAAACTTTAGAACCGCGATCTAAAAGAAAAAAAGTTTAACAAAGGACCGGATCACGTTATATTCGGTCGGTTTGGTGTAGTATTGATGTCGGTTTGGTCTGGTGTCGTCTTGATCTAAAACACGTTATATTCCCCTTCTATCGATGCATCATTAGTACATTTTACTATATTTCGTATAGATTTCATAACTATTTGATCAATGTGCTTATAATATACCTAGTTGTGTTTTAGTATCACTTTATGCCTTTCTAGTATGGTTTTGTGCTTTTCAAAATCAAACACAATCAAGAATGCGTTGGATAAATCATTGGACCAAATAGGAGGATCTAAGGGATAATTATCAGAAGATCAAAGAGTAATTCATCCATTTAATAAAGCCAAACAAAAGGAAGCCGCCGCAGGCCCAAGCCCATTGGGATATCCGGGAATATTCTTTTCTGTCCACATTCCGAAAATCCGAGTCCCAATCTTACAAGGAAGCTTTTGGCCTAATTTTAGGAGGAAAAAGCCTAAGAACCCCTTCTCCTATGTACTTTAAATAGCGGAACCAGGCTATATGATTATACACTGCAAATATTACACAAATTTACTCTACAAAAACTTGAGCAAGTAGCCAATTGGCTTGACTAAAGATCAGAGTAGCATCCATAAGGGAGGTGCGGTTAAGGAGAGTTCGATGGTGGTGGTACGATCCTTCTCTATTATGTATCGCTAGTTCAGACTCGTTGTTAAGGATGTGAATTATGTTGATGGTTTAAGCATCTACTTTCTACGGTCTAATTAGATGCATTAAGTCATTAGATGCTTTAGTCATTCAATGCTTATACCATTCGATGCTTCGGTTATTTGATGCCTTAATCATTTGATGTTTATATCATCTATTGTGTGCTAATATGGTGTTGTTTATATTATCATATTAAGTTGTTAGAAAACTACTCTTATGTGATGTGCAATTGTCTTATACGTGTATGGAGTGGAATAATCAGTCATCCATACTTGTACGAGTTCAATGCTTGATACCCTATATGATCAATGCTATATATAGACCATTGTTATGGTCCATAGAGACCCTAATAGTTAATGTGTTATCTTTACTTACTTACTTATTTCCTTGTTTGATTGATTAGTTAATGGCATGAAGCGAAAACACGCATTAGATAGTTGTAGTGACTTTTGCATGTGGTATCATAGTAGAAGATGCATCGATGTCGATTATTATTGTGATTGAGATATATGATCATTTAGAAATGAAATTTCTTAACAATTGTGTATCGTATACTTACCTTGTCGTATACTTTATTGCTTTGTTTATCTATATCTCTAAAATCAATTAAACGTAGGAAAACCTCAATGCATCAGTCTATGTTCTTACTATGTCTTTATTTGAGCATAATTTATTAGTTATTAGTACTTGTTATTAATTAGAAGACCTTGTGGAATATAACCTAAGACATATCTAGAAATTTTATTATTTTGATGCATTACTGCACTTACGTTAGGGAGAGTAATTTTGTAGCCAACTGTTTGGCTCATATGAGTTTCTCGGTTCCTTTGGAGTTCACGTTGTGTCTTCTTTTGAACCCTAGTATTCTAGCCCCGATGCCTATCCTCAAAGGAATAAGGCAGGCCGAAGGTAGTTGACTTGCTTTCTTTTTCCCAACAATTCTTAATAGATCATGTATGATGTTATGGATTCTCTAGAGTCTAGACCCCACATCATTAATGTTATGAGTTAAGAGTGTTTTGCACCTTTCTTTGATAAACAAAAAAAAGTTAACCACGAACATAAGATTTCAAATGTAAAAAAGAAAACACAGATTCCGGTGTGGTTTGTTCATAAATTTAGTGAAGGATTTGAGACTCAAATCCAATTAATTAATTATGGACTTGTCGAGAAATTCATTATTTTTGGGAGCAAAATTTGTGGGCGTCACGAGCTTGCTAATCCTATGGTTTGAGTTGAGATTTGGATGAAGGTTAAAAATTCATCCTACATCAAATTTCTAATAAAGTAAAATCCATAAGAAAATCTGTTAAGCAAACAATAGACTGTTTTAAATCCATAATGACAACAAATCTATTATTAATCTAGAGTTTTTGAAGAAAGCGGATATCCTCCATAACCTTATGGTCAATAACCATGTATAACCTGCCGCATCAGTACCACATCATCATTTATGGAAGTCTTGTAACCCTTTCCCCTTTAAATTTTAACGGGTATATCTCTTTCATTTTAAGTCAGAATTTAATTTTTTCATAGATAAATAAAATAATTGGCAACGAGTGGTACGAGAGGTATGAATTTTTTTTCTCGAAATATATTGAAAATAAATCTCATTTTGTAGATCACAACGAGCTCGTTCCATATATGCAAAAAAAATTAAAATATAAATTAGAAGAAAGAAAATAAGAGCCTATTAATAAAAAAACTAAACAAAATAAAAAGTCTTTAATTTATAATCCTTAAATCTCGAATCTTTTGGGTCTATTCTAAATTAATGACTCGGATTTAGCTATGCCAGATGCAAATCATTTTTCTAACTTTTTTAAAAGGGTAAATTGCAAGTTTGGTCACTGGAATTACTAAAAAGATTCATGTTTGATCACTAGAAATATTTAAATCCATTCGTGGTCACTAAAATTAGTTAAACGTTTCAAGTTTGGTCACTCTCCGTCCAACTCCGTTAAGTTTTGCTGATGTGGCAGTCAACACTTATAGTTGACCGTTAAATACATGACGTGGCAATTAAAAAAATATTAAAAAATAAATTTTAATTATTTAAAATTTCCACGTCATTTCCCACTATTAAAAAGTTAAAAAAAAAAACTTAAAACCTGATATGATCAGAACCCCGTCGGGTTTCAACCTTCACCACCGCCGGCGAACTTCTCCCACGAGTTCGCCGGCCTCCGGCGGTTGACCCAACACTTCCGCCGACCAACCATCTCGGGCCTCGTCGGGCATGATGGTGGAAATTGATATCCTCAGGTAGACGACGGTGGGTGCAGAAACCTCGCTTGAGCATGGTGGCGGCTAGGTAGACGGTCACCCGAATCTTGTTTGGGAACTTGTGGCTCGCCTCCATCACGCTCAACCCCCGCGCTGTGCCCCACCACCACCACTTATGCCAATTTCATCCATCCATTCGTTACTTATTATAATCCAAACTCAAAGCAATTTAATCATCAAACTCATCATCATCATCATTCATCGCCAACAATTGTTCTAATTCAAATAAGTAATAACAATACAATAATGATGGTATCTATCCTCACCTGCTCGTTTTCCGGCAACCACGCCATCAGGTCGAGCAGCGGCTTGTTGTACTCCCCGAACGACTATAGCGCGTTGGCTTCGGTCCGGTCTACGCCGGCGTTGACGAGGCCGACGCACGACACCCTGTGTCCCGAGGACTCGAGCATGGTCCGGATTTTGTACCAGCTCCCGTGCCCGATCCCGAAGACCAGCACGAAATGCATCGTCGATGCCGCTGATGCCGACCATGTGTTTGCTGAAATGCCTTCTGGAGTACCGCCAACAGTGGTCGTTCCTTCGGATCCATAAATTCAAATCGAAATCAGGCCCGACAACTTCTTTCTTTACGGCCTGGTCAGAAGTTGTGTCCCCGGAACCCATCATGCCCGACGAGGCTCGGGATGGTTGGTCGACGGAAGCGCTGGGTCAACAGCCGGAGCCCGGCGAACTCGTGGGAGAAGTCCGCCGGCGGTGGTGAAGGGAGAAACCCGACGGGGTTCTGATCATATCAGGTTTTAAGTTTTTTTTTTTTTACTTTTTAATAGTGGGGAATGATGTGGAAATTTTAAATAATTAAAATTTATTTTTTAATATTTTTTTAATTGCCACGTCATGTATTTAACGGTTAACTATGAGAGTTGACTGCCACATCAGCAAAGCTTAACGGAGTTGGACGGAGAGTGACCAAACTTGAAACGTTTAACTAATTTTAGTGACCACGAATGGATTTAGATATTTCTAGTGATCAAACATGAATCTTTTTAGTAATTCCAGTGACCAAACTTGCAATTTACCCTTTTTTAAAATTTAAATTTTATCAAACCCTCATTTTTCAAATCCATCCATTAAACACTAGTATAGGGGCGGCCCGTTGGCCGGCTAGAGCCCATTAATCCAGCCATAATCCAATGGAAGACCCAGTCGCAAGTGTATTTCATTTATCAGACCACTTATGGGCCCAATTTTTCCACCTTTGCTTTTATAAACTGGGTAAATTTATTAATAAAATAAATAATAACCCAAACCAGACAGAAACCGTTCGACTTCCTTCTTCCCCTTCCATTTTTCTGTTCAGGCTCCGACGAAGAAAGCAAACGGTACCAAAATCATTGCATGGACGTTATTCCTTCTTGTCCTGTCTGCGGGACTGAATGTATTCTTAGTTCCAGCAATTAATTTTCAAACCCTACCTCTTCACATCTGTTCTTGCATTCTTTGTACAGTAGCGAGGTTTTTGGTAGACTCTGATAATCCAGTCGAAGGTGCGCAAAGCGTTTCCAGATTTTGTTAAGGTCTATGCATTTTAACCGGTGATTTAATTGCATTGAATTATTACAACGTTTGAATTACATAACAGTGCTACTATTAATGCGATATAGTTCCAAATCTCTTCCATACATTATATGAGATATGTGTTGAGACTGCTAACTCACAGACCAATTTAACACAAATAAAAAACAGATATGGGTTATTCACAAAACCAACAAATGGTAGTTCATAAGTGAGAATACGAATTAACACTTAAGCAAATGGTAGTACATAGTCTTAAAAATGCATTTCGTGTATTATAACATCTAGCAAATGATATATGAGGAACAACATTACACAAAAGAACCTAACGACCACAAAAAGCCACTTATTGTTTAGTACGGTAATAGTGCACGAAGAAGCACATGAGATTTGCTTCCCATATAGCATGCATGGTGAAGTGTAAGTAAAAAACTAAAGGGTCTCCCTCTAATGGATTTCAAAGCTTCCGCGAAATGGTTGTCCCAATGGTAATCGTCATTGGTTGGCATGACGGAATGGGTAATGGCTCTAAAATTGATTGATATAAATGAGACATCACACTCTGCATAGTAATCACGAATTCTAAGCTGGATAATAAATTGTCTTCTTGGGGGTGACCATACCACACATAAATTTGAGATAAATCCCTTAAGGATGTAATCATGACCCTGCAACCAAAATAAAATGTCAAACGCTTTGGTGGTAATAGTACGTAATTGAAGAATATGTAGGGTAGGAAAGTTGGAGAGGATACATTTACATGCTGCCATGTTGAAGGCTAGATCAAAAAATGGTCATGAGTCTAAACTAAGTTACATGTTCAATGTAAAGGACATGGAGAATCAGATAAATTGACCTCGGACAAATTATAAAAAGAGTACCATTGTCATAGGCGATTGCTGAAGGGCAAGGAATTCTTCAATCGAGCAAGCTTCTGCAATGTGTTTTGCATTCTCATATGTCCAATTCATTCCATTTGACCTGTATAGGAAAAACGTTTACAATTCTAAAACAAAACCAGCTTCTTATTGTTAGAAGTACCCAGTTATGCTATGAGGATCTTACGGATTTAATAAAGGGTGTTGGTCTGGACAATTCAAATTGAAATATAATTTAGAAGCTACCGAGGTATCAAAATAGAATTGACCTGCACTCATAATAACAACTCGTTAAAATTTGGAAAACAATTAGTGTATGTATTTCGGCAACATAGGAGGATGGATCTCGTAAATAGGGATAACCTGTATTCTTGTGAGTGAATAGGGATGTGACAACGCAGATGAATCCTGGTTGTGACTCATTACGCACAACAGTTTGGAAATCATCTATCAAAGAGTCATTCAATACAACTCTGACAATAGGTCCCCTACACAGTAGCAATAGTTCAGTATATAGAGGTCAAGAATCTGATCTATTAGATAGAGGGTTCATCGGTAAAAATAGACTACTCACATAAATAGTTTGAGGTACACATTTTTCCGACGTATATGCCAACAATCTTCAGACAACTCGAATACAGGATCAGTCATATGAATTTCACCAACTAAATCTGACAAAATCCATTGCGATCAAATTATTTGTAACTTTCCGATTCTTGCAATCAGTGAATGAGTATTGACACCTAAGTCCTATGCATAGAAATTAGTATGAAATCATATGAACTCGCATGGAACAACAAACCTGCCAAATATTCCTCATTTTCATAAGCTGCCTGGAAATGGGAAGGTGTAAGAAACTGGAAATTGAATGCAGGGATTTCTGGGGTGTCATCCATGATAGTTAGTTCTGTATTTGGCGTGAAGTGAAATCGATGGTTCGACATTGCAACTTTGAACCTCACAGCTGCGGCTTCCACCTCAAAATTTGAAATTGAGTATACCATTCCTTCGCTAATCTTGTGTTGAAAAGTCTGGAGTTCAGTAATCGGTATAACAGCTTCCATTGAAGTTCCCTAAAGCATTGTATATTGTCAGAGTTGTCTTACAATTATCCAGACAATTATCCAAGAAATGGAAGAAGCACTATACCTTGCGGTCGATCAAGAGTAGATTGAGCCATAATATGTGCTCTTTGTTTGCCCCTGTAATTGGCCACACTCGTAAAACCCGAGCTTCCACTTTCCAAACTCGTTTCTGTTGTGGGGAAACATCGGACAAAGCGTCAAAGACAATATCCATTTTGATTGTAGAGAGCAAAGTGTTTGGTTCATTCAGAGAAGGGGTTTTTACAGGGTGAATGGATAGTAGTTTCTTTTTATGGTTACAGAATTCAAAATCAGAACGTGATGCTTTTTGCTAGTAGTGGGCGGTGTAGCAGTTGAAGAACCAATTTTTGTAACTGCTAAAGTGGTGATGGATTTCGATATCGAGAAATTGGGGGACGTACCTGAGTAACGAACTATCAAGCTTGCGGCAGCTGAAATAGTTGACATTAGTCAACTATCTAGCGATAGAGCAGCGCTGGGGAAGATGCCTCTGATTGTGAGGTGAATATGCAGGGATTTCATTCACATCAAATTGAAGCCATAGAAGGAAATCTTTGAGTATGTCGTGGTCGGGCGGCGTCTAGGAGGCGGAATGATGTTTTGGTAGCAGTATGGAATAATGATTAGAGAAGATAGGTTAGTTGCCCTAATGAGGAATTCTTTGGGCTGTGCTCATGGGATCTCGGTGTAATCCTATAGCGCCAACAAATGGGCTTCATAACTTGAAGAAATTAGATGGGCTGAATAACATATTAGCAGTTGCAACTAATTGGGCTTTATGTTACCTTCAGTCATTCACTCTATGTTGCTAGAGGATTTTAGTTTGGAAAGAGAATTGTTTAACTTTTGTAATTATGGACATTGCTGACCTAATAATTACAAATATTTTCGACTTCTTTATCTTGTAATTAATTATTTCTAGGACAGGGATAGTTCTCTAGTTTTGTTTCTTCGTTTCATGTGTAGGAAAAGTCAAGTTTTACCTTAAAAACGAAGTATCAAAATATTGGATTAGTGTCCATGATTACCTGATTTCACATAAATTTAAAACTGAGGGAAAAATTGTTTTATGACTGAATAGTTCAAACATCTCAATATGAAACAAAGAAGCTAGAGAAAAACAACAACGGTTTAGTTAGACAAAGGTAACCAAATAATGCAAATAAAGTTAAAACGAATGGAGTAAAACATAAATATCAAAAACTGCAGTCGAAAGCATTCAACATAGACCAAACATACCATATCAAGTCCAACATTAAAAAAAAAGTTTAACACATGAAGCACCTGTGTCATTAGTCAGCCATTGACTTTATCCATTAGGGATAGGAAACAGGAAAAGCAAAACATAAAAGTAAACGTCTGTGAGAGGATCAATAACAACTGATCAAGGTCTCATTCAATAGGTTGCTTTCGTTTGAGAGATGTGGTTGGTGTTTTCTCGCCATCATTGTCTTTAACTGCAGTACACAGAGGGTCTGAGATTTGAGAAGAACTCCTTGAATTCTCGATGTCACTGTGAATTGATTGGGTGGAGGAAGCTTTCTGCAATGTGGAGGGGAGGTCCTGAAAAAGAAAAATGAGACATAATACTCAGTAGCTATAATTTGGTTACAGCCACTGGAAAGTAAACAACATAAGAAATATGTAAATAAATAGAGCATAAGTGTTATACAAATGAAAAATAAACTAATAAGTGGTATGATAATTCTATCGATACACCATAACCGCAACTAAACCGCTTAAAAAATGACCAAATACATTATGATTCAAAATTGGTTGTAAACCAAAGTTAGTACAGTCTATTCTACAGTGACAGCAATCGGTAATTCGGCTAACTAAGTCCAGAAATGAATATGAGGTGACATTAAAAAAAAGAGAACTTACATCTGTGGAGTCTGGATCAATTTTGACAACGGTGAAGTCTGGTTTGCTCCTTGTATACATGCTGATTTTGATTTTCACATGAAACTTGAGAGTCATTCCTAGAATTTTAAGTATAATCTCCGGTGGAGAATCTTTCAAACCACCATTTTGAAGGAATAACTGGTTAGCAGGCACCCCAAAGAAGTTTTCGCCAACATTTTCAAACATGACAAAAGAGGCCGATGTGTCATCACTAACAACTTCAAGTCGCAGACGATACCTACATACAAAAAAGATTTGAATAATAAGTGAGGTCTTAATTTGATAAATAAATGAAAGTAAAAGAACAAAGTGATGTTTTGTTCATGAAAAAGTTCAAATCATACTTTGCAGCCTTGATAGTTGTAGTTTTGTTGCACTTTGTACAATGGTAGGTATCCTGATCTTCTGGAGCTTTATAGACGCATGTAGGGCAGCTGAGGTAACACCACAAAGGATGCAGATCGACAACTTTACCCTCAACAGAATAAACGTTGTCCTATAAAAAAAAAACACAATTTAAAAGATTGAAATGTGAGAAGTACAAAGTGAACATCAAGCACGAATTGGAACGTTATAACCTCATTTTGCATGTCTAAGCTCAAGTTCTGAAGTTCAGCTAGAGTAACTATGGGAACTTCAGGAGTAGAAGGTTCATACAGCAAGACAGGTGCAACATTTTCATTGTTCCTAATTTGAAGAGACAATGAATACACGATTACATCAAAATTTGTTTATTCAGTGTCTATCATACAAATTAAGAAATGCAACTATACCCATTCAGAAAGGCATTGACTTCAGGGATATCGATATTGGAGAACAAACATGTTGAGGATGTCGAGGACAAAGAGCAATCTCCTACATACATAATACACAAAGAAGAAAACAATCAATATGTATTTTTTATATTTCATTATTGAGACTGAATATATTAAAACCCAAAGTTTACCCTGAAATGGTGTAACTCGAATGGAAGTAATAACTATTACGAAAGAAGCTGTTCCTGAAGCGTCGACAAAGCTCTCCAAAACCGGTAGAAGTCTTCCAAACACAACAACAGATACCACATCCCCTCTACAAAAAGTGAAATAGAAAGCAACCAGCAAATCTCAAGGAAAAATACGTTGATAAATATTGTATGAATCTATCTAATTAGATAGGCAATAGAACAAACTCAATCAGTTTAAGGGAGATGTGTCTCCGAGTAGTTTTTCGGCCGCCCTTGCAAGAAGTTTTACGCTCTGATACATGTTGCACCAGACCAACAACATCTGAAAATCAAGGGATACATTAGTTCAGGTCATACTCAACTTAAACTGACCAAGATACGCAAGGTTCTGCACATTAATCCAGAGAGACTATCCTAGGAACTTCTAGACTTGAGTTAAGATAGTATACTCTATACCTAACCAATGTGATGGTCATTAACACTTCCGATTCGATTGGTAATGAGTATAATAACAACCTATCAAACTCTATAAAAACAACTTCTGTAAATAATAGTTGAGTTCGATAAATGGTGAAAAAACCAAAGAAAAAGAGTATGGAAAAGTAGAAAGCACCTGATAGAATATCTATTTTATTAAGGTTCCTTTTGATTTGAGCTGCATTCATGAATGTGAATTTGAAAGTCGGTATGGAGCGAGGAACGTCTGGGATTTGTTGAACAGAGGTTTTCCCAGAAAATATGATGATATTGTCATTGGCAATCGGTCGATATTCCACTGGTGCGGATTGGACTTTGAAGTTGCTGAAAGTATAAACTTCCTGATCTTTCAGAAGTGGCTGGAAAATCTTCATGAGCAAAGGTGGAATTTGCACCCAGATATCATTACCCTGTCAATGAAGAAACGAAGTTAGAGCATTGTAATAGCGAGAAAATCTGAAGCATTGAGTTCCTAGATGAAGTAGTATGGACCTGTGAATCTAGCAAGATCATATCCAAGTGGCAAACTATGTCTGTGTTGATATTTGTAGCAACCCAGAGTCGAGAAACACGACATTTGAGCTTGCAAGGTCGTTGATTTGGGGAAAGCTCTGCTATGGAACTGAATTCCATCTTGTGGAGGGGCTAGGACAGGTAAGTGGAGTTTACTCCAATGAGTTGAAAGTGCAAAAAACAGAGGTTATAAATGTTAAAATTACGGGGGTTGAAGCATACCTGGTAGAATGGATGTTTTTTGTATGAGATAAATGACGTGGATTTTCCATAATAACTGCTGTGGAAGACGGTTGCGGATGGAGAAACGAACCACGTCTGCCACTAAGAACGACATTCGTGGGACTCTATCGCGTAACCGCTTCGCAGTACACATTCCAGAAGTAGACCGAAAGAAGAGAACCAATGTAAAAAAAATGCTATTGACGAATCGGACGTAAGTCGCGCCTTTCTGCAGTGCCTTTCTAGGCTATATCGAAACCCTAAATTAATTGAAATCGAGATAATTGAACAGGGGAAGTTTCAGAAGCTTGAAGTAAGAAATCAAACCTTGTTACAAAGAATAGCTCGATGCGTTTCGCCAGTCTCTGCTGGGAAGAATGAAGTTTCGTATTCAGAGTTGGACCACCGAAGCCGGTGAATCGATGGTGGTTCAGTGTCAACCACGAATACACGCAGGAAGTAGAGGGGTATGTGGAGAATACGACGTCGACGGGCCAAGACTCTTGATTTAGACTGTTTTGGTTATTCGTAATTGGAAGTAGGGCTTATCGGTAAGTGGGCTGGGCCAATTATGTTTGGAAAATAGATCAATGGTGGTTCAGTATCATTGACGAAGCATTTCCGGAAGTAGAGACGAATGAGAATATTACGACGTCGGAGATGCCGAGACTCTTTATTGAGTTTTTTTAAATTATTCGTAATGAGAATTGAGAAGTAGGATGTCTCGGCAAGTGGGCTGGCCCATATCTGCTAAAAACAACAAAAATTCCCAACTTCAATTGATAGAATTGGCATAGATTGGTTTATTGTTTTAGTTGGGCCACGATGAGTGATAATAATTTATTGAATTCCAAATGTAATACTACATTGATAATTAAACTCTCTTATTCAACTTCTAAAGAGTATTATGGGAAATCACCTAGCATAGTTACTCCTAAATCAAGTGAAGAATGAACATGCATAACACCAAAATACCATTGTTGATCAAAAATAAAATCAATATTAATTTTCGTTATCCTGGCATTACTAATTACAGAAGATAAGCGAACAGCTACGCCATCCAAAAATATTCCTGCCATTGCTCCTAGAAAGTTTTTGGTGTCCAATCAACAATCGTTCTTGCTTTCCTGAAAATGTTCCAAACCATAAAAAAATAAACAAAGCATAAAAGTGTTTTAGATGAGGAATATCATGACAAATCTGGTAGAAGAAGCAATACTAAAAAGAAATGAAAGGAATGCATGGCCTCATTATGGCGATTAGAAATAACATATTATGTATAATTGAATTGTGAATCTTGGAATCTATTATGAACCCAATAGAGTGAGATTGGAACAGGTAACAATACTTACCAACGCAATTTTGCTGATGCAGATTCCAGAGTCATTCAAAAATCTCCCCATATACAATATTAAGAACAGAAGGTACACCATCTTCTGATAAATGGGAACTGAAGATCTTGATTCCGCCTTTCCTTGTGACTCTTGACAAAGCCACATAAAGTTGTCCATGAGAAAAAACTTGTTCATGAAGACACAAACCCATATGATGAAGAGTCTGACCTTGACTTTTATTAATCGTCATAGCAAAACAAAGAGCCACAGGAAACTGCCTTCGTAATAGAGTGAAGTTCAATGACTTGTAATATGTTGCTAATGTCAGTCGAGGCAAGAAGACCCGATCACCAACATGATTTCCTGTAATGATTTCGACTTCAATAAACCACTTCCCCATGGTCTTTACAATCATTCTGGTACCGTTACATAATCCTGTAGTTTGGTCCATATTTCGAAGCAGAATGACAGGGCAACCAACTTTAAGCTTAAGCTCATAGTCTGGAAAATTACCAATACTCAACGTATTTAAGAACTCAACTGTATAATCTGCATCAACAACTTGTTCATTTCCAGGATCCATTTGTATGGAATCCGAGCTGTAATATGTTACTTCCTCCCCAGGGAATGCGGCTAAAACATTAGCATTAATTGAAGATACCATATCATGGTGAGGTGCTAGAATAGCTCGACTAACCAAGTAATGGGAATCTGTATATTGTTGCTGAAGATTGCCATAAGTCGACCGAACAATATCAATAACAGGATCTACTTCTGGATTAACTAAAAGCTCCTGTGGAATAGGAATAGTAGACTCACCAAACACATTGGACTCAGGTGCATCACCAACATGTAAGAGCCAAGTGTTAAAGTCATTGATTTCCTCAGCTTCCTCCGGTGAACAATTAGCTCGAGCTAACCTCATGTTCTGAGTTAATGTAATCACCCTGAAATATCTCCATAAGTACGATCTCTTAATACATGAGTTGACAATGTCAGAGCGTGACCCCTTAGGCACTATAGGCAAAGTTTGTCTGAAATCCCCACCAAATACCATGGTCAACCCTCCAAATGGCTTTCTCTCACTGTTTTGGAACCGGGGGCGTAAAATATCCCTTAGGGACTTGTCAACTGCTTCAACACAATGTTTGTGTGACATAACAACCTCATCCCAAATTACTAAGGAAGCACGCTGAATCAATTCAGCCAAATCACTTCCTTGTTGGATATTACATGTTGATTTTGCATCCAAATCAACAGGGATGCGAAAGCGTGAATGTGCTGTCCGACCACCCTCCATTAACAAAGCTGCAATTCCAGAAGAAGCAACGCACAGAACAACTTTATTCTCAGATCGCAGTTTCATGCAAATTACCTGCCACAGAAAAGTCTTCCCAGTACCTCCTGATCCATTAATAAAAAAGGATTTTCCAGCATCACCATACACAGAGTCCATGATCTCATCAAATGCTAATCTTTGTTCAGCATTTAACTTGGAAATTTTATCATGAAATTGATGCAGAAGTTCTCCGGAATTGTAACAAAGTTCAGCTGCAAGCAGTCGATTAGATGAAGATGCTAAAGTGAAGGAAGTTGGAACCGGCAGACCAGGAAAATCTGAAAGAGATTGGCACTGCCTTGCCAAAAGTTTGCTAATCTCGAGCAAGCAAGCTTCCTTGAGCTGTTCTTCACTCATGACTAAGGCAGGCATATTCAACTCCTTCCGTCGAGTGTGTAAGATATCATCTGATAATAGTTCCCAATTGTTGGCCCAGAAACTACCAATGTTGGATACCTGACAATGAGTGAGAATAGTGACAAACAACACTCGCAGTTTATATCCAGTAGCCCAAAAAGCTGCTTCTTTCAAACAATCATTCCACTCATTATCCTCAGCTAACAATCCATGGGCATAACATGCTTCCTTAAAAGATTTATGTACCTCTCCATTCACAGTTTTGATTTCATCAAAACTGCGACAACCTCTAACAACATTTAGCAGCATACGTAGGTAGAACCGATCATTATTTGGGGAAGGATTACAGTTGTATAACCTGCCAATAGAGAATTTTGACTTTCTCATGTGCCACTCCCTCTTAGTTGAATTCCAGACAAAATGTTGAGGAAATTCAACATAAGTATACTTTCTTGCCTCATGGGACAGCCTGTTCATCTGCATCCAGCCCAGCAGCATTGAAGTGTTAGCACGCTTTGAGTGCAGCAAACCTTGGGCCGTTGATCTATGGTTGGAGACAACGACATTCTCACCCGGTAAATGATATGACATACGTAAAACTGATGGATACTGACTATAGAGTTCAAACTTGAACAATCTCCAACATGCTTCTCCCGAAGTTATGTATCGACAATCTAAAAAAGCCTTGATCTCATCGATACGCTGGACCGTGCGATAAGATGCACCAGCATCCTGAATCTCTACAGTCGAAGGATTATCAACCAATGATGCCTTTGCCCTGTCCTCTGGTTTGTTAATGTATTTGAAGAGATATTTTATAGCCCTACACAAAGTAGATAGTGCGGATTACATATACACTCACAGCAAAGAGCAGTAAAAGTGCATAAGTTGACTACATCCTTGTGAATGGCGTACCATCCAAATTTTAGTTATTTAAATTGATGGAAAAGGTTATCCGCCAGGAGGAATAAGACTTCTTATCAAAACTTGTGAAAACAATAGGTACATAAATTGTGTAAATATTTCTTAATTCAAAATGGCCAACACATGTAAACAGCCTTAACAAAATGGTGTTTATTCTGCCATGTGAAATTACTTCCAATAATTGATTTTGTCTCTATACGCAAAAATGGAACTGGAAATGGCAAAACATTACATATATGTTGAATCCAACAAAATTAACAGTATTAATGAACATTCTATATTTTGTTTGCAACAGGAAAAGTTGACATCTAAAATAACATGCAACAAATGTCTGACAACAGCCAACACCAAACCAAGGTTCATGAATAAACATTGAGTTAAACTTTTAAAACAGTAATTATTAACTCAAAAGGATTAGTAGGAAACAGCAAAGTACATAGACGTAATAATTTGGATAAGATACTGCAGAGATCATGGTTAGAACGTAAACCATACCTAGATTTGTTGCAGAATTCAACATTGATGTGAGCTTCGAAACGTAGAAGTAGATATCGATTGTAAGGGACCACAAATCGATTATCGAGCGGAACATTATTAACTTCAACAGTTATGCCACTATCACGACGACGGTATTTTGCAAAACCAGATTCATCAATAATAGTTTGCTCTGAGTACTGTTTGGGAAAATGTTTTCCACAAACCCCCTTTTCCATGCAAGGGGAGTTACGTCCTAAAACACCACATGGTCCATGCAACATATACGATTTTACAGCGCGATAGCCCTCGGGATCAAGATGCGGGTTCGGGATTTCTGCTGAGATAACTGAATCAATTTCCTTTGCACCTTTTAATTTGTCTTCCCCCGATAGGAAAACCAAGATATGAGCATGGGGAAGACCACGTTTCTGGAATTCAATTGCCATTACATCTGAAATTGAAAGAAT